TGGAGTATCAAGTTTTTTTTAATGTATATATTGTGCCTTGGGTGTGTTAAGAATTGAGTTAAACTTTGTTAATAGTGGAACTTCTTATTGCAATGCATATTTTAAGAGTACTTGTTGAAAGCAATACCATTCACCTAAAGTTAAAATTCTGGTTTATTTAAAGCTATAAGAAGAATCATTTCTGGGCTTGTGATGTTAATATTGCCCCCCTACTGGGGTTATTTGTCCTTGGGTTGAAGGGTTGGAAATCGTGCCAAATGGGATAACATTGCCGGTGGACTTCCAGGGGAGGAGTACGGGGGAGGCCTTCGTGCAGTTTGCTTCACAGGAAATAGCTGAAAAGGCTCTAAAGAAACACAAGGAAAGAATAGGGCACAGGTGGGGATGGATGGTTGGTTGGATATGTCACTTTTCTTATGGTAAACAATTAAATCCATATTCTCTCTGCTTAGAAGGAGGAAATAACCCATTTCCTAAAATTCCCAGTTAATTGGTAACCTGATATAGCTTTTAAATTCTTTCTAATGTATTTTATTCAAACTAAATTTTAGGTTTTAAAATTATCCCCAGTTTATTTGGACCGTCTTTACAATTTTGTAGGATTCTTAGTTTATTAACCCCAGTAAATAGAGTCGAGAGACTATGGCTTTAAAAAATTAATGCAAACCTGTCTTTAGCTGTAATAACACCCACATAGGAAATTAATATTACCATAAGAAAATGTGATACTTTCTGATCTTGTTTTTAAAGTTGAAATGCAACAAACTTTCTTGCTGTATAAATATTCTGCATATGTATTAATAAGCATAGCTTTCAAGAAATTGTCACAAAAGGTTTTATTCTCTTTGCTTGTGACTATTTTTCATTGAAGCATGCGCTTTTTACCTATGCTGATTCCTACTAAAAGCATAGGCTGGGTATTGGCGAAAAGAAGTGTGTAGTGTGGGCTAGACTGTTGGTGGAGGCTGGCTTTTTAGCCCACTTGCTATACATGCTGCCAAAGGATTTAAGAGTTGGAATATTGAAAGTTGAGTGGAATTCTTCCCTCCTAAACCATTTATTTGTAATACTCCTCTCTGCCTCTAAGGTTGGGCTCTGCCTCAGAGGAGTTTTTTTTTTTTTTCTTTTTTCTATAAAGTTTAAAATAGTCTTGAGTAAATTTCTGGTCATTGCCTATGCAAATGTAAGAAAGCTGGCTTTAAATATTAGTCAGTTTCATGGCTATGACTAAATTGTTTTTCTTGTATAACTAAGTAACTGTATGACATGAACTAATGTTTTCTCTCCCCTCCCCATTCCCCTTCCTTTTGGACAATGCTTTAGGTATATTGAAATATTTAAGAGCAGTCGAGCTGAAGTTAGAACTCATTATGATCCACCACGAAAACTTATGGCCATGCAGCGGCCAGGTCCCTATGACAGACCTGGGGCTGGCAGAGGGTATAACAGCATTGGCAGAGGAGCTGGATTTGAAAGGATGAGGCGTGGTGCTTATGGTGGAGGTATGTATGTGCTGATATATGCAAGGTTGAACTAGTTTATTTTGTCTAGGTGGAGTTTTTGGTGACTTACCTTTTCTTATCTTTCTTTCAGGCTATGGAGGCTATGATGATTATAATGGCTATAATGATGGCTATGGATTTGGATCGGATAGATTTGGAAGAGGTAGGATAAGAATTAAATTTCTCAGTTTAAGGGTACTTACACACTTGTCCATCTAGACCTCAATTATTGTTTTTCAGGAATGTCTGACCACAGATACGGGGATGGTGGCTCTACTTTCCAAAGTACAACAGGACACTGTGTACACATGCGGGGATTACCATACAGAGCTACTGAGAATGACATTTATAATGTAAGTATTGAGATAAATTCACTTCAGGTAATTAATTCAGTACAGCAGTAAAAATGTGGGATGATATTTTTAAAAAGTTAACTTTTTTTTTTTTTTAAAAAAAACTTGTATTTTAGTTTTTTTCACCACTCAACCCTGTGAGAGTACATATTGAGATTGGACCTGATGGCAGAGTAACTGGTGAAGCAGATGTCGAGTTTGCAACCCATGAAGATGCTGTTGCAGCCATGTCAAAAGATAAAGCAAATATGCGTAAGTGTAATTAAAGCACTTGTAACTTCAGGCAGTTAAGTGACATTTAGAGTAGAGGAATAGAATAGTAAGGGTATATAGCTTGGGTTTATTAAAAGCTTAGGTTTTTTTTTTATACTGCTATTTTGGGATAGGTGGTTGGACATAACCTTAAGTTTGTCCTTAATTGGTAGCTTAGGTGAGTGTTTTAAAAGCTAGTTCTTAAATTCTAACATGGGAGTTTTTACTAAAACTTGTGATTCACAAGTTACTTTTAAATTGTTTATCTTGTTTTCTTTTACCAACTTTCTTTCAAACTTTTTTTTCTCATTTCAGAACACAGATATGTAGAACTCTTCTTGAATTCTACAGCAGGAGCAAGCGGTGGTGCTTACGGTAGCCAAATGCTAGGAGGCATGGGTTTGTGTAAATATCACTTTAGTGTCTTTTTTTAAGCTAACCTTGTATGCCTTTTCTCTCATTTCAGAACACAGATATGTAGAACTCTTCTTGAATTCTACAGCAGGAGCAAGCGGTGGTGCTTATGGTAGCCAAATGATGGGAGGCATGGGCTTGTGTAAATATCGTTAGTTTTTTTAAAAACCAAAACATTTGTATTTGTATAAGTAGATTATAAGATAAGTTAACATAATTAGTATCAGAGTTTGTTAGCATAATAATTTTAAGTTAGCAGACAAATTTAGACAAAGATTCTTAATTGGAGCAAGTTTTGTAATTAGTAAATTACTAAAATCTTGTAATAACATGAAGCTGCTTAGGGTAGATTACTCAAAGTAGATATAAGTACTTTTGGGGGAGGGGACTATTGAATGTGTTACAGTATCTGTTTATAATGTATGTCTAAAATACTTAGCAAAAATATAGGATTAACAATGTTAATTGGGAACATAATTGGGCATAATTAACTAGGCATAATTAACTGATAACCTATATAATGACATCTAAATATATATATATCAAGCTAAGGGGGAAACCCCACTAAAGTTTTATAAGATAACTAAAAAAAATGCCTCTACTTAGTGAATCATGTGTATTCCTCAACCTTTTGGTTTATAAACGTTTAACTAGCTCAAATGATGAATATAAAGATTAATCTGGTCACAGAGAGTTAGTCTTGTTATAGATAGTAGGCAGGAGGAGACAGTAATATAAGATCAAGACTGGAAAATTGTAGACATAGAATTACAAGCCCGGTACCACCAGGTACCACACTGGATAAGAAGCAAAGCTCTAATGTTCTGTTAACTTAACAGCAAACCAGTCCAGTTACGGTGGCCCAGCCAGCCAGCAGCTGAGTGGTGGTTATGGAGGCGGCTACGGCGGCCAGAGCAGCATGAGTGGATATGGTACGTTTGATTTTATTTATTTTTTTTTATATACCTAGAATAAGTTTTAGGTTGGTTTCTTTAGTTGGGAATATACAGGCTCCTTTTTAAGAGTGGGGTATTAAATATGGTTTTTTATTATAATTCTTAATAGTATAAAGTGTAGAAACAGTCATTGGGAGGAGAGGGGATGTATTCTAGTCATTGCAATTTTGGAACACTGTCAAGCCAGAAAACATCTGTGTTCAATTACTAAAACATTAGTTTGCTTTTCTGTTGTAGCATTAAGTTTTGACGGAGGGTAATTTTTTAAATATTAGATTGGTGGTTGGGTTCAGGACAGTATTTTACTAGTCGGTTAACCTAGGAATGGTTTTATTTTTTTCAATTTGGTCTAAAGAATGGTGATTTTGGTATGATAGTCTTACCCTACAAAATCCTTTTGCAGACCAAGTTTTACAGGAAAACTCCAGTGATTTTCAATCAAACATTGCATAGGTAAATATTTTCTCAAAAAATATAACTTAAATTCCCAATAGCAAATACTGATAATGTTGTGATAACACTTTCTGTAGCAGTCGGTGACTCTGACTTAACTCCATGGAGGCTGCCATTTTGGGCACAGTGAGTTGCCTTTAGTCCAACTTTTTTCCTCACTTCTTGCCCACCATGAATAGGCAAAGCAAAAGACTTCCCCTGTACTTACTCCCTATTCATACACACCATTCGATGGACACATAGTACATGTTTATGGTAAAAAAATTTTTAAGTGCTTTGTTTTTTGGTTTTTAAAACTTTAAGTAATTTTGCAATTTTTGAAAAACACTAGTTTTCCTTTAAACTTAATTTCCACGTTGATCCTGAAGAATCCACTTAAAATGGTAGCACAAGAGTCTGGCAAGTTGGTACTGCAGAGAAAAGGGTTTAATTGAGGTTTGTTTGGAGTCTGGATTCCCTTTTCCCAACATGCTTCTCGCCAATTGGACAGCAGCCATTTGCACTCGTATACCTTTTAAACTTTCTTGTAATGTTATTTTATTTGATTAATTATTAGGCATCATTCCTAACTTGTCAAATGGATCTCTTTGCAGGTAGCCAAGAAGCAGTGAACAGCAGCTACTACAGTAGCGGAAGCCGTGCATCTTTGGGCGTGAATGGAATGGGAGGGATGTCTAGCATGTCCAGTATGAGTGGTGGATGGGGAATGTAATAAGATTTTGATCACTGACTCTTGGTCTTTTTTTTTTTTTTTTTTTAAGAAAACAAACCCTTCAGTTTAACAGTTGCAATCCATCCTTGTGATTTATGCCTACTCTTTAAGTGAACATTGGCATCGCTCAAAGGACTAAGGTCCAATGTTAAACATAGTCACCTAGGATGATATAGTGAAGTTGAGTGAACTGTAACTGTTAAACAATTCCCAGCTTTTCTCTAGTTACTGTAGGATGTATGTAAGTAGTAAGCGTATTTAGGTTAAAGCAGTTGAATTATGTTAAATGTTGCTCTTATACATACATTACATTGAACACTGATGCATGTTGAAAAGACATGCTTTTTTGTAAAACTCAATATAGGAGCTGCGTCTACAATTAAAAGTGAAACATTTGGCATGTTCTAATTTCATTTGATAACCTGTAAGGCACGTGAGTTTTTTTTTTAAGTTCATGGAGAAATTTTGAGACGCAATACCATTACTTTAGGATTTTTGGTCTTGGTGTTTGTATGAAATTCTGAGGCCTTGATTTAAGTCTTTCATTGTATTGTGATTTCCTTTTAGGTGTATTGCGCTAAGTGAACCTTGTCAAATAAATCTTCCTTTTAAAAGCTATACCTATCTGCTTCAGTGTCATGTGATCTGTCTTGGTACATTATTCCTGCATGGGGTATCCCTGTGTATTATGTAAAGTCTGGGTAGCCGAGGCTGCTTTAGATGTCTTCAGACAAGCTACAGGTAAGCCTGGCTGTTGAGCCCTTGTGGAAGGATTGTTTTGGCCTGACTACACTGGATCTTGTCTGAACAGCCTATACTCACTGTATAAGAGGTGGCTTACAGTGTCAGCACTCACTGTCTAAGAGGCTTTTGGGCACGGCAGAAACAAAGTATTAGAGCAAAGGGGTAACAGGTCACTCACAAGGCCACTTTCTTGTCCTCTAGGATGTCCATAGATGTTTTCTCACAGGTTGGAGTTTTTCTTGATGTCTCCATATGTACCTCAGACTAGTTCTGAGTGCTAGTTAACAAGTGTGCTACCATCTTTTGTGTGCTGCTGTATCCCTCTCCATCTGGGACCTTTACTATTGGTTGAAGGTTCTACCACTAAGCTGTACCCTTAGCCCTTTTGGAATTGTGCCAAGGTTTGTGTCACAAACCCTGTCCACTTGGAAGTAGAATTAATAACATGGGCAGTGGTGGAGCACACCTTTAATTCCAGCTCTTGGGAGGTGTGGAAGCAAGTGGATCTGTTTTTGAGGCCAACCTGGTCTAGGTCCAGGAGAGCCAGGGCTTCATAGAGACTGGTCTCTCCAGCCCTGATTGTCCTAGAACTCGCTCCTTCTGCTCTGCCTTCCTAGTGCTGGGATTAAGGCATGTGCCACCACCACCCTGGGAGAAGCTATCTTGAAAAAATAACCAAATCAAAACGCCAACAACTTGGAGATTGGTTTTTTACTGTGTAGCCCTGGCTGGTAGTAGAACCAACTCCTACAGGTGGGCTCTCACCTCCATTTGCAAGAAGGTATAAACCATATAGGCAACAAAAATGAAGTGCCTGGGCATGATGGCATATGCCTTTCTTTAATAATCCAAGTTCTAGGAAGGCAGACCCTCTGACCTCTGAAGAAATGCTGTGGCCTTCGCACACAAACTGTCTAGTCTGCCATGCTCTGGCTCTACATTTACTTTGAACAGCACATGTCCCTCTGTACATGCCATACCAAGGACTTGACAACTAAATATTAGTGACTTGGGACTTGGATCCATTATGAATAATACTGAATACATTTATTATGTAACTTGGTGGTAGTTGAAGTTGGGAGGACAAGGGATAAAAATGTGAACATGTATATACCAGCTGGGGACCTGATGCGTGCTTTTTCTGAGCAGCAGCATGTAAATGGAAGGTGGTGTTATCCTGCTCTTTTGTGTGCAGATGAAAAATGTGATACTCAGAAGTAAAGTGACTTAACTAAATGCCCCTCAAAAGCTGGAACCTAAGTTGGCACATTGAAAAGGTACAGACTTAACTACAACAGTCTGGGGCAGTACAGTGGTATGTGAACTTTGTGGGAAAATTGAGTCCTGAGGTTAGGGGTTCAGGTGGAGGAGCAGCAGACTCCTTTGGCCCTTTTCACTGCCTGCAGTTTAGAACATGGCTTTGGAGCTGCTCAGGTCTGGTTTTTTAAATCCTGACTGCACAGTCCTTGCTGTAGGGATTAGGGAGAGGCAGATGAGAACATAGTGAATCTTGCTTAAAGTAAAGCGCCAGAACCAGTACTGACTGAAGTGGGAGGAAGGAGAGACAGGCTTGGATTGGGTTGGGGCAGAGTCTGCACAGTAAACAACCAGATCTGGGAATTGGTGAGAAGTGAAGGTATTAGGTCTAGAAGGATGGAAAAGTACAAGGGAAGGGCTGGAAGACAGGTGGACTGACTGGCTGCCTTGTCTGATGCTCCAATACTTATTTCAGAGTCTCAGGCCAGCAAAATGGCTCATAAAGATGTTTGCTGCCAGGCCTAATCATCTGAGTTTATCCCTGGAAGACACATGGTGGAGAGAACTCATTCTAGTAAGCTGCCATCTGGCCTTGTACCCTGGCATTTGTTTGTCTCTGTCCCATGCCTGCATGGACAGAAATCTAAGGACATTGGCCTGCATGATGGGATAGGTACGTGAACTTGCACTTGGGTGGGGCCCTAAGGAAGATGGTACAAATCTGCATGGCCACAGACATCTGTGCTAGCACTTCAAGTCCCATGTAGCTAGATGGTTTTAATGGATGGCTCAGATTTGCCATGGCATAGAAGTACCTGTATAGACAATTTTCAGTAAATTATTGAGATAAGCCAACATCTATAAAATAGGCTTTGTTTTGCTGGACATGGTGGCACATGCTAATAATTCCAGTACTTGGGAGGTAGAGGCAAGAGGATCAGTTCAAGTTCAGCCTTGGTTGTATTTGAATTTGAGACCAGACCAGGCTATTTGAGACCTTTTCTCAAAACAAAAAGCTGAGTCTGTTTATTTGCTAGTGTCCCAAGCACTTTCAAGGCAGGCTAAGTGAGGTGAACAGTGGTCATTCTTGGCTTGTTTCTACTTGACTGCAATGAGGATGTAACCCCACTGCAAGTCAGGCATCTGTGTAAATACGTACTTGGACTTTGGTGACAAGGCTTGAGGTCCTTTACCCTGGCCTTGCTCCACCTGGGTGGAGCAGCCTAAGTACAAGCAACACACCAGCTGAAGAGAACAAAAGCAGCAGGCCCTCCTCCATATGCAAGCTGGAAGCCAGCACTTTGTACAAGAGTGAAAAATAAAGGATTTTATTGCAGGGCTAAAGGTAGTTGTTGACAGGGGCATGATGGTAAATGCTGGATGAAGCAGACAAGGCACACTGACAGACCCAGGAGGCTCAAAGCTCTGCAGAAATCAAGGTTTCTGTGGGATGTGGGTAGGAAAAGAAAGGATTCTGTACTAGTGCAACTGCTGCAAAATAGGTTAATCCTTTGAAAAGTGAAAGTGACAGTAGCAAAATCATGAAGTTACACCTGTTCCAAAGCCAGGATATAACCGAGGACACAGACATGTCAGTTGAGAGGAGCTGGCTCTATACAAACCATGGAAAAATGGTCAGCTGCCACTTGGCGCTGTCTTCAGAGGCTGACAGCCTGGTGAGGATTTCATTTTTTCCTTTGATTCTCTGGGGCCCTTGCAGGTCTCTGGAGACCCAGAGTTTGGCACTGGACCTGAGGCTTTCCTCCACTCTGAAGATGGAGCTCAACAGGCTAAGGTCCCTACTGGTGTCCTGATGGCCTCAGGAGGCCGTGGAGGAGCAGCGCTGCAGTAGCAGGGTGTGACAGCTGTCACACACACGCACTGGCTTAGGGTAGGAGGGCAGGGCCAGCTCGTTGCTAGAACAGGTGTTGCAGAAAATGTGGCCACAGTTTCGGCAGTGGTGCTAGAAGACAGAAAAAAGCCAGTCAAGACAACTGGGGGATGCAACCCGTACACCTAGCTTGCTTTGAAATCCTGGCTTCTGTAATGACCATGTCTTAGACCCAACATGCTTTTAGATAGCCTCTCCTGATTGGTGGCAGATGGTTGTTTATAAATGGGCCAAGAATCTAGGACTTATTGGGGTTGAGTTTTTTGGGTAGGGAGATAGAGCCTCACTATGTGCTCCCTTGGCTGGTATGAAACTTGCTTCTCTCTGCTTCCTGAATGCTGGGATTAAAGATAACGCCACACCTGGCTGTGTTGGGTTCTTTGGGCATGTGATGGATGCCAAGCTTTGCCTGGAGAGCCTCTGTCCTGGCTCTACAGACAATTAGGCTAGATTGCCCAAAAATGTTCATGTGGGTATGGCCAGACTGTGCTGCCTCAGACTTCAGCAGGTCTTGACAAATGGAAAGGTCATTTCCAATTCTGGGAACCAGAAAGGAGACTTGGGTGGGAGTGGCCCTTGCGTACCTTTCTCCGGGAAATGGAGAACTCCTTCTCACACTGCTTACAGTGTGTTGCTTCATCATCCTTCAACCACGTGTGGCCCTGAGGAAGAAAAAACACCTGAGAGCTTCACCTCATGTCAGCCCCTGCTTGGCTGCATCCACTGACTTGTGACTGTCCCTCCGCGGAAGGCCTTGCAGCTTTCCCAGATGTAGGAGGACTAATGGAGCCCCTTCTCTCATGCTGGCTGTAGATGGCATTCACATATCTGTTCAAAGTGCCTGCTCTCAGCATCCTGGCCTTGATCAAGGCTGATTCACTCAAGATACTCCCCTGCCCTTTTAAGAGGTTCGCTATAGCTGAGGTCACCACAGTCAAACTGGTGCCTGCAACCCCAGGCCCGGCCTGAGATGTGATCCCATGACTAGCTACACTGGCAGAAGGAAAGGTTCAAACAAGTGACATGTACTTCTGCAGAGAGACAATGTGTAGGGGAGGAATGCCTTTATCTTCAGGAAAGCTCTCTCTTCTGCACACCCAGCCACACTTCCTCAATGGCTCTGGCAAACAGCTTAGCTACATTATATAAGAGAAACTGGAGGCTCTAGAAGAGGATGCTTTGCAAGTTTTTACCAGGAAAAACTGATCTGAGATGTATTATCCCTTAGGAATTCTGTACATGATCAGAGGGGTCAAGGGCCCCTTGACACAATCTTTACTGTGCCAGAGAAGCAGGCTGCTGGGGCTACCTACGGCACCCTTATTCTAGAAAGCCCCTCTGGAGCTGTCTGCTGCCACCGTCATACAAATACTGCATGGCTAGACAGAGACCTGCAGATCACAATTATAGTCAAGGCCCTTCATTTAAAGAGCAGGAGCAGCCAGGGATCCGTTCACCTGCTGGACTGGAGGTGGCTGCTCAGCTTGGTCTCTCACCATGAAGGAGCCCCTGTCTGCCCTGCTCTCCTGTGGTAACTGGGTGAGGAAGGCTGTTCTACCTGGCACCTGTGTGTGTGTGCTAACTTCTCAAGCACACAGCAAGTCAGAGCCAGCCAGTGGGCATAGTGCCTACCATGGGCTTGGGTTAGAGAAATTGCCACTAGAAAAGTTAGCCTCCAGCTCACACCTGTCCCCCTGCAGCAATGCCATCTCGGATGTGCCTGTGGCACTATGTTGTCACCCCTGTAGGGAACAGTGAGCAGTCTTTCTTTTCCTTCAGTCTCACTAAGGAACAATGGCTGGCCTTGAGCTCGCTATGTAGACTAGGCTAGCCTTGAATTCAGAGATTCCAGGGCCTTTGCCTCTGGAGTGCTGGGTTGACAGATGTGCCTACCACCATCAGCTGTAAGTGATTTTTGCTAATAAAAGTAACTTTAATACCTTCAGTGCCTTATTTACTTCCTTTATGTCTTCCATCTTCAGTTTGGACCTATAAAAAAAAAGAATTATTTTAGTAAGAAAGGGATAAAACGGGGGTTCTCTGTGTAACAGTCCTGGCTGTCCCGGCACTGTGTAGACCAGGTTGGCCTGGAAGCACCGAGATCCACCTGCCTCTGCCTCCCGAGTACTGGGATTACAGGCGTGCACCTGGTAAAAGTGCTTCCCATTTTTGTGTGACCTGAGGTTGTATTACACCCTCCTGGCTCATGTGACAGCTAAACCTGGGACTATGTGGCCTAAGAGCAGACTTGCAAGTCCAAAAGGGTCAAAAACAACTGTAATGGTGAATGAGCCAGGTCATGGTGACTCCGGAGGCAGAGGCAGAGGCAGGCAGATCTCTGTGATTCCAGGCCAGCTTGGTCTACAGAGCAAGTTCCAGGATAGCCAGGACCACACAGAGAAACCCTGTCTCAACAAACAACAAACAGAATGGTGAATGAGTCTGGAAGTCTAGAGTTCTGGCTTCTCTAGGTAGCTGTCCCTGCATTTAATGTACTTGTGGTAAGGACAGGAAGTCCTGACCTAATTGCCACTCTCAGTAGAGACCTCAATTTCCCAGGCTTCTTGGAGGGTGTCCAGCCCACTGCACAGTCCAGACAGGGCAGGCCGAGAGGCTCTACTAACTCGCCATCTTTTTTTTTTTTTTGAGACAGAGTTTTTCTGTAGCTTTGGTGCCTGTCCTGGAAACTAGCTCTTGTAGACCAGGCTGACCTCAAACTCACAGAGATCCGCCTGCCTCTGCCTCCTGAGTGCTGGGATTAAAGGTGTGTGCCATCGCACCTGGAGCCTTAAGAACTGACTAGTCTAACTGCTTTAGATCGCTAGGCGTCAAGTGGTAGGTTCCTGAGAGACAGGCTGAATTAAGCTAGTGCTTACAAAACAGCACCAGAACTTTCAAGAACCACCATGGCCTTCATTAATCACCAGCAGGTGACCCGTTCCCTGTCCAATAGAAAACGGTTAGTTGACTTATTGGACCAGAAGCTGTCCCAGCATGGGCTTGAAGGAATGGGAGATGAGGGGGTTTGGGCAGTCCTGTCTGGGTTGCATGTACACCTAACTCTGCCACAGCCACACAGCTTGGCTCTGAGGGACATGGTGACTGACCATCTCCAGATAGGATTCCAAAACTAGATCAGATGGTACATCCGAGACGTCCCCAGAGTCAGAAAACCACTGCCATCTTTCAGGACCACTGGGTCTGACTTTGCTTTGTGTCCATCCAGCTTGGGGACAGGAAGAAGGGAGTTTCAGGTATAAACCCAAGTAGAACCCTTCAGCCAGTTCAAGGCTAGAGCCTGAGAGACACAGGATGATTGTCTCAAAACAGTCTCTGGTATCATGCTTGTACAACAAAGTATCCTAACCTTGGGGTTGCAGAGATACTCAGTAGTTTAGAGCACTCCCTGTTTTTCTAGGAGACTCGAGTTCAGTTGCCAGCATCCATGTCAGTGGCTCACAATTGCCTGTAACTCCAGCTCCAGGGAACCCAATGCTTTCAGCCTCTGAGGGCATCAGTACTTATGTGAACATACACCCCCCCAACACTTAAAATAATAAAAAATAAATTCTTTAAAAAACAAAATAGGAGACCTTTCATCTTTTCAGACAAAACAAAAGGTTCAGTATGCCCACTATCAATTTTCTTGAATTTCTCTAGCTTTCTCTCACTTGGTTCCCATCTCTAAAGCCACATGGATCCTGACTGTTAAAGGTCACAATTCTTCGATGCTCTGGCCACAGGTGGAGCAAGAGGAACTTTTCTCTGGTAGCCCTGCCTGATGCCAGATCACTGTATCTGGTCACAGGAGAAAAGAATTCTCAAAGGATTAGGAGTCACACAGCTGCCTCCTAAGGCCTGACTTCCTGGGAGGTCACCTAGGGACAGCTGGGAGGTTTCCTAGCTGTCTCTTCTAGCACCAGGCCTGGAAGGCGCACAGATGCAGCCTTGCATGTGGGTGGCTCTTACTGGCTGAGGTGCAGTCCCATTTCCTGGAGGGCTTGTTCCTGCTCCTCGCAGACCTTCTGTAACTCTGCCTTCTCATCCTGGAGCTCCCGCAGTTCCTGAAATAGACGAGCCACATGTCACACACAACTACATCTTCCTTTTGAAATGTTTAGTAACCAGTGTGGTCAGGAGATCAGAATGCCTGGCAGAAGAAAAGAATAGTTTTGTTGGCTGAATTGCACCCAAGAGAGGGTTCTTTTATAGATAACTTTATATCAGCTATGGGCAGATGATACAGTGAGTTTGAGACCATCCTGGGCTTCCGGAGACCTTCTCAAACAACAACTACAAGTGACTCTAAGCTGGATACAATGATGCAGGGCAGGGATGAGATACCTTCAGGCCAATTAAAAACAGTTACATGGGCTGGGCATGAAGGCAAACACTTTTAATCCCAGCACTCAGGAGGCAGAGGCAGGCAGATCTTTGAGTTTGAGGCCAATCTGATCTATAGACCTAGTTCCAAGATAGCCAGGGCTACACTTGTTGCTAAAAACCAAAAACCAGAAAAGGGGTGGGGGAGTTACCCTGCACTTGTTCCTGGTGGCACATACCTCATACCTTTAATCCTAGTACTTGGGACACAGAGGTAGATGAATCTCTGTTAGATCCAGGACATTCTGGTCTACATAGTGAGATCCTGTCTATGTAGTGCCTATCTTAAAAACCAAAAATCGGGGCTGGAGAGAAGGCTCAGAGGTTAAGAGCACTGGCTGCTCTTCCAGAGGTCCTGAGTTCAATTCCCAGCATTTCACATGGTTGCTCACAACTATCTATAATGAGATCTGATGCCCTCTTCTGACCTGCAGGCAGACACACAGGTAGAATACTATACACAATAATAAATAAATAAATCTTTAAAAAATTATTTTAAAAAAAGTGGGGTGCTGGTAGCGCATGTTCTTAATTCCAGTACTTGGGGGGCAGAAGCAGGTGGATCTCTGTGAGTAGGAGGCCAGTCTGGTCTACACAGTGAATTCCAGGGTAGCCAGGACTGTTACAGAGAGAAACTCTGTCTTGAAAAATCAAAGGAAACCAAAACCAAAACCAATTACCCATGGACAAGTAAAGTTTTGCCTATCTACCAAAGGCTGGGTTTTAAAAACACAGTTATCTGGGCTGGAGACAGTAGTCTGTGTATGTGATCTTAGTTCTTGCAAGGTGAAGACAGCATTAGGAGCTCTATGTGTTCCTACACTACATACCGAGTTCAAGATCAGCCTGGACGATAAGAGACCCTATCACAAAACAAAACACAAATCACTCCTTCCACAGCTCTCTGGAATGTATATAGGCCAACTTTTTGAAGACTTGCTTCAAAAGTGCCTTTAAATTTTTTTTTTAAGATTTATTTATGCGTTTGCATGTGAGTGCAGGAGTATGGGCACATACATGTGAGTGCAGGAGTATGGGCACATACATGTGAGGGTCAGAGGGCAGCCCTAAGGAGTCTGTTCTCTCCTTTTACCCTGCGGGTTTCAGGTGGAGAGGCTAGCTCCTTTATCTGCTAAGCCGTCCCATGGGCTCTAAAGTCTTTCAGCATTTCTCATTTCTCATTTCTCTCTCTCTCTCTCTCTCTCTCTCTCTCTCTCTCTCTCTCTCTGTCTCTCTCTGTCTCTCTCTCTCTCTTTCGGTTTTTCAGTGTAGCTCTAGCTGTTCTGGAACTTGATTTGTAGACCAGGATGGCCTTGAACTCCTGGCTCTCAAGTGCTGGGATTAAAGGTGTGTGCCACCACCCCCTGCCATAAAGTCTATTTTAAAATATCTTTGGAGAAAAAGAAAAAAAAAAGTCTTTGGGCAGGGAAGACGGCTCAGTGGTTAAAACACTTTTCACCAGGTCTGAAAACTTGACTGATTCTAAGATCCACACAGTGGAAGAAGAAAACTGATAAGGCTGTCCTCTGACCTACACATGAGCACACACAATACATATATTCAGTAAAGTATTTCTAAAAGACTTTTTGGGTGGTTTTCAGACAGGGTTTCTCTGTGTAACAGCCCTAGCTGTCCTAGAACTTGGTGTGGGATGTCCCTCTGTATATGTGTTGCTTTTATTGGTTACTGAATAAAGCTTTTCTGGTTGACGGTCTAGTGGAGTAAAGCCAGGAGGGAAATCAGAACAGAGAGAGAGAGGGAGAGAGAGAGAGAGAGAGAGAGAGAGAGAGAGTAGGCGGAGTCAAAGAGATGCCATGTAACTGCCAAAGGAGTAATACACTGGCACCGGTAAGCCACAGCCTCATGGAGATACACAGATTAATAAAAATGGGTTAATTTAAGATATAAGAGCCAGTTAGAAACATGCTAGAGCCACTGGCCAAACAGTATTTTTCTGTGTGATTATCCAGGTCCGTGCGGCTGGGAAACAAACAGTCTTCATTTACGGGGAACTAGCTCTTGTAGACCAGGTTGGCCTCAAACTCAGAGAGATCCACCTGCTTTTGACTCCAGAGTGCTAGGATTAAAGGCGTGTGCCACCACTGCCTGATGATCTAAAAGACGTTTAATAAAATTCCAAATGCTTTGTATTGGCTAGTCCTGAATTCTTTTCTTCACCAAACCCTGGATTTGTCTAAGTCAAGGTCTCTAAAAGATGAAAGGGCTGGGCATGGTGGCACACACCTTGAATCCCAGAACCCAGGAGGCAGAGGCAGGTAGGTTTCTGTGAGTTCAAGGTCACTCTGCTCTACACATAAAGTTTCTGGCCAGCCAGAACAATACAGTAAGACCCTGTCTCCAAACAAAAAGATGATAGCAACTTCCCAGGTTGCGGAGAGTGACAGCAGGGAGCTGTGCCTCCGCCTGCTTTGTTGAGGGCATCACCAAGCCTGCTGTGCAGTATGTTGTTGTGGAATATTTGTTTACACTGGGAAGATATGCCCTTGCCCAGGTACCTTCTGACTGGCTTAATAAAGAGATGAATGGCCAATAGCTAGTCAGGAAGAGGTTAGGCGGGACTTCCAGGGACAGAGAGAACTCTAGGAAGAAGAAAGGTTGAATCTCTAGCTAGACATAAGGAGGAAACAGGAGATATAAGATGGAAGAGAGGTAAAGTCATATGGCAGAACGCAGATTAATATAAATGGGTTAATTTAAGTTATAAGAGCTAGTTGACACAAGTCTAAGCTAAAGGTCAAGCTTTCACAATTAACAAGAAGTTTCTGTGTTGTTATTTGTGAGGTGGAAATCAACAGAAAAGCTTGCTACAGTGTGTAGAATTTAAATGTGGATTAAGTATTTTGAGGTGAGCATGTTCAAGGACAGAGCCATTTTCTAGGTTCTTTCATGCCCAGTCCTTTCCCTACCCCCCACCACCTGAGACTGGCCTGGCTCCTAAGCCCCTTCTTTTCCTTGGAGCTCCCGCCAAGAGCAATCCAGAGCCTCTGGGCCCACACTGTACAGTGGCACCCATCATCACCCTGACAGCTGCCTTGTTACAAGGGTGTGCTGAGGGCAGTGCACATCTGGCTTTGTTGCCCAGGCGGGGTCAGGAGGTCTGGGAACCTGATGCTCAGTCCAGCAGACTGCTGCCAGCTGACCTTCCTGATAGGTCTGTTTCTACAAGGATGCCACTAGGTCAACACCCCACTTCTCTTGCTCACAGGATCCAGGGCATTCCTGAGAGTGACACTGGGGACTCCAGAGAACTGAAGTGACGCCAGAAGGAAATGGGGCATGGGAATGATTATAGGGTCTGGCTCTGCCCGCCTCCTGGGATGACTTGAGCTTTGGGAAGAATGGCCAGCCAACCTCTCAGGAGAAGGTCCTGTGTACCAGCTTTTGCTGAAAAGGTTGACTGGTTCCTCAGACAGGAGCCCAGCACCAGGTCTCCACACAGTAGCTGGTTTTAAGACCACTTGTAAAGCCCGTCCCCCGGCCCCGTTCGTGAGAGGTGGCCTGGCTCTCCCGGGCTTCTTCTTCTCTATCTGCTCTTCCCAGCTCCTCTCTGCCTTTGGCTCTCACTGTCAGGCCCATCTGCTGACTCCACTCGCCATCTCCTCTTAGGACAGAGGCCCTGTGGGGGTGGGCACAGTGCTCCAGACCCCGCCTCCCACACAGAGGCACTGGAGAGACTGGCCTTCGTAGGGAGTTCTGGAGAAGGTGCAGGGCTGTGCCCACACGCCGCTGTCTTACCTTCTTCAGTCCTTCCACTTGCTGCAGCTCTGTCTGGAGCAGGCAGGTCGTGTCTCTCTCCCGCTGTAATTCTCTCTGGAGAGCTTGCCTTTGTTCTTTTTCTGATTTCAGTTCTTTCTCTAGACCTGAGCTGTTGTTTCCCCAAAAGTGAACTAGAGTTAGTTTCAGTGGGAGACTTCCATGGAAGACCCACAATCTGTCATACAAGATAGGGGAACCACCAAGACATTAAAACCCTTACATGGAGTGAAATCAGGCTTCTTCCTATAACCTACAGTCTACCACACAAGATAGGGGAACCACCTAAATGGCCACATAGACATTAAAATCCTTACATGGAGTGAAACCAGGCCTCCTCCTGTAGGGTCACCTGGGCCCCCAAAAGACCAGGAGCTGCCAGGTACATTCTTGGCTGTTACATCAATGAGAGGAAAACGCTGAGGATTATACAAAGGACCTGAGTGGCAAGAAAGTTCAATATCCGCCTGGCTTTTCACAGCCCACATTCAGTAGACAGGAAGACACCAAAGAGGTGGGAGATGGGGAGAGAGTGACAGGGGTGAGCTTGGCTGGATCCTGACTCATCTTTCACCAGCTAAGAAGGAGGCTGGAGACACAGGTGGCCCCTAGAGCTTGCCCACTGTTCTTGTTTGTGAAGCAAGTTGGGTGTTTTAGTTAGCAAGCGCGCGCGCGTGCGCGCGCACACACACACACACACACACATACTCCCTCACTCATGCTAACCCAGCCTTGCAGGGGTGAACTTAGGAGGGAGACTGGCTATGTCCTACTCTTCTTGAAGACAAGAAGAAAGGTGGGAAAGTCACTTCCTTGTCCTCTCAAGTTGACCTCTGTAGGTGCCTGGCTCCTTACCATTGGTCATGCAGCTGGGACAGCTGGAGCTGCAGGGCACTGACCCTCCCGTTGAGTTCCTGCTGCACCTTGTGGCTCCGGTCTTCTGCCCCCTGTCTGGCCCTTTCCGCCTGCTGTAACCTGAAGGCAATGCCAAGCAGACATGTTCAGTCTTTGTAGGGAAAGGCCACCTCTCAGACTCAAAACTCTTGGCTGGAGCTGCTTGCCTTCTTTCTTTCATCCCTCCTCTTTGGTTTATCTATCTATCTATCTATTTATCTATTTAGAGACAGGGTCTTGTTTTGCAGCTTAGGCAGTCCTTGAACTTGCTACCTAGTTCAGACTTGTTTCAAACCTATGATCTTCCTACCATAGCCATAGTGTGTACAACACACAGGTGTGCACCACCATGCATAGCTTATCACTCGAACGGGAATTTACAGGAATGGTGCTCCATCTTTCTTTTCTTTCTTTTTTTGTGCTGGGATTAAAGGCATGTGCCACCATTGTCCAGCTAATGGCTCCACTTATTCATTTGCTTATTTGCCATTCACATATCCTTCTTGCTGAATAGCACGCTCAAGTCTTGACCCATCTTTTCTTTTTGAGACCAAGTCTTGCTAGTTTGAAACTAGCTATAGCCCAGGCTAGCCTTCAGTCTGTGATCCTCCTGCCTCAGTCTTTTCTCACCACAACTAGTTTTCTTTTGTCTGTTTTTCTCCCCTTTTGGTGTGTGTGTGTGTCACACGTTATCACAGTGCACACATGGAGGTCAGAGGACAAACTGGGGTGCCAGTCTGTCCTTCCCCATCTTGTCTGAGACAGGCTGTTATTTGCCACTGTGTACACAGGGTTTGCTGGTCCATGAGCTTCCATGGACTTTGCTTTTTTGTTTTTCATCTTGCCATAGGCACTCCATTTTTATAGGCATCTGCTACTGCACATGGCCATGTGGGCTCTATGGATTTGAATTCAGGTCCTCAAGCTCCCATGGCAAGCACTGTTAACTGCAGAGCCATCCCTGACACCTTGTCTGTTTTTAGTTGAATTGTTTGGTTTTTTTATTTTGAGAGTTTTTTATAGAGTCTAACACAAGTTCATTGTCAGATATATGCAAATTTCCTCTAAAACTCTTTTAATTCTTGCCAGGTGGTGGTGCGCACCTTTAATCTCAGGTAGAGGCAGGCAGATCTCTGTGAATTCAAGGCTAGCCTGGTCTACAAGAGCTAATTCCAAGACAGGTTCCAAAGCTACAGAGAAATCCTGTCTCAAAATGATCAATCCAAAGCAAAAACCAAAAACTAAAACAAAACAAAACCCCAAAACCAAGCCAACAATAACAAAACCAAACCAAACAAAAAACTAAACAACAATAACAAAAACCTTTTAACTCTTTTAGTCATGTTTCATATGATGAAAATTTAAAGTATTTAAATAATATTGCTATTATTACTTGTTTTTCCTTTTGGTTTTTGAGATAAGGTTTCTGTAGCCCTGGCTGTCCTGGAACTCACTCTGTAGACCAGGCTGGCTTTGAACTCAGAGATCTGCCTGCCTCTGCCTGCCAAGTGCTAGAATTAAAGGCCATTGACACCTTGCCCAGTAAATTTAGAATTTTGATACAGTCTAATTATCAAGTGTGAAGTATTCTTTTACACTGTGTAAATATGTGTCACTGTATCGCTGGGTTAATAAAGAATCTGACTGGCCAGTGTCTGGACAGGTAGAGGTTAGGGGGGACTTGCAGACAAAAAATGAGTTCGAAGAAAAAGGGGAGGAATCTCAGAGTCAGGAGGAGACATGGAGAGGAGATGAACTTGCTGTACTGAGAACAGGTAGCAGAGGGTAGATAGGAAATATGGGTTTAAAAATATAAGAGTTAGCTAGTAACAAGCCTGAGCTATTGATCAAGCATTTATAATTAAAAATAAATCTCTGTTATTATTTGGGAGTGGCTGCTGGGACACAGAGAAACTCTGCCTACAAACAAGTTTTTCTCTTATACATTGTGGTATTTTGAATAGAAATGGTCCCCACAGACTCCTGGTCATTAGGGAGTGGTGCTACTTGACAGAAATTAGGAGAAGTGGCCTTGTTGGAGGAAGCACGTCACTGGGGTGGACTTTGGGCTTTCAAATGCTCAAGCCAAGCCCAGTGTCTTGTCTCTCTCTCCCTGCAGCCCACTGATCCAGATGTAGAACTCTTGGCTTCTTCTCCAGCACCATGTCTGCCTGTGTGACACCATGCTTCCTGCCATGATGATAATGAACTAAACCTCTGAACCTGTAAGCCAGTTTCAATTAAATGTTTTTTTTTTTAAAAGAGTTGCTGTGGTCATGGTGTCTCTTCATAGCAACAGAAACTCCAACTAAGACATAATTATACTTTTATGCTATCTCAAAAAGAAATCTCTTTGCCTAACCCACAGCCACAGAGTTCCCTATGTCCTTCTAAACAGTTTTAGTTCTACATTGAAATTTACGATGCCCTTTGAGCCAGCTGTTCTATAGGATTGGAGGTGTGGGCTGAGAGTCACTGCTTTGCAGATGGAGGACCAACTGTTCCAAGACTATTTACTGAAAAGACCGCCTTCGCTGTGCAGTGCTGCAGCACACCTTTCATCCCAGCACTTCAGAGGCAGAAGCAGGTGAAGCTCAAAGTTTGAGGCCAGCCTGGTCTACAGAACAGCCAGGGCTACATAGAGAAATTCTGTCTCGTCCCCCACAGACACCTAAAACAAAACAAAACAAAACAAAACAAACAAACAACCCAAACACCTTTGCTCTATGGGATGGCATCACATCTCCCCAAAAGCAGCCATTTATGTATATCTTTTTTGGAATACTGTCATTTTTTTTAAAAAAAAATTATTGTGTGTGTGTGTGTGTGTGTGTGTGTGTGTGTGTGTGTGTGTGTGTGTATGTGTGTATTGGAGACTGCAGAGACCAGAAGATCTCACAGAGCTGGAGTTAGAGGCCACTCTGAGTCACTCAGTGTGGGTGCTGAGAAGTGGAGTCCTCTCTAAGAGCAATAAATGCTCTTAATTGCTGAGCCATCTCTCCAGCCCCTGGAACTCTGTTCTGATCACTACTGAGGTGGTATTTGAATGTGACAGTGGAAATCCACTCTGTCTAGTTCCAAAGCCTGAGAGGACATTCTGATGCAGTAGCCTAAAGTCTGGCTGACTGACCAGCGCTTAGGCCAGGCTGGTTGGTGTGCCCAGGCTTTTTCTTAGACAGAGGGTGGGCCAAGGAAGGACAGTCACCCCAATTTGTATGTACTTGTCAGTGGGACTCTGTGGTTGTTTCTAGGCCCAAGTAGCCCAGAATCTTCTAGAGATGCCCTGTCTACCAGGGAAGGGATCACCCAGAACCTTCTAGAGATGTCCTGTCTACCAGGGAAGGGATTGCCCAGAACCTTCTAGAAATGCCCTATCTAACCAGGGAAGGGATTACCCAGAACTTTCTAGAGTTGCCCTGTCTACCAGGGAAGGGATTACCTTTCTTCCATTTGTTTCATGCTTGCCATTGCTTGATTGGTTTTTCCTTCAAAAGAAGCGATGGCTTCATTCTTCTGCTGTAAACTGTTCTCTGCATTCTATGAAACCAAGGAGATGGTCTGTAAGATGCCCCGCCCTCCTCCACGTCTCTCACTGTTAAGAGACTTTGCAACACTCGCAAGAGTATTTCATTAATTGCTGTTCTTCCCTAGAGCCCTGAACAAACCAGGTCAAGGCTCCAGCTCTGCTAAAGGAAGAAGAGCAAAGAGGCAGGTGCTGGGGTCTGCCTGCTGCAGTCAGTGTGGACTCTGTTCCCAAGCAGCCTCATGGTCTGGCCACACTTGCCACTTCACATGACCCCTTGGAGGGTTCTCAAGGGAGACACTGTCAGCTTCAGTTTCCTACAGAAAGGGAGGCTCAGCATAGAAGAGACTGACTGAGGGCTAAAGAGCCAGTCAGAGGCAGGACTGTTCACAGCCATAGCTGTGAAACTCACTCTGTCCCAGTTTTAATCAGAACAGTTACCTGGTCCCAGTAAGCAGGAGGGAGCACTCTGTAGTCACAAGAGACGTACTGTAAGATAAAAGGCTACAGAGAGGCTGCTGCAGAAGGAAGTCAGGAGGACTCCCCACAGACTGCATTTTCTGGCCGAAGCTTACACTCAGGATTGAACTGATCAAACAGAACAGCATGCTAAGTGTTGTTCAGCTTAAAGAGAAAAGAACTGGAAACTAAGAAACACTCAGACCTGAAAGAACACAGCACCATGATACTGCAGCGAAATGAAGCCATATCCCACTTACACACAAAGAAAGGTCACCAAAACATGACGCGTTGTAACTCTAAGAGAGATCTGCCTCCTGAGACGCTAAATGGGGAAGCGTGCTTCCCTGGAGATGAAATGCTTTTGCTGGGATTTGAGGGACACAAAATAGTTTTTGTTTTTCTTTTTGGCTGATGCTGAAGATTATACAAACATTTTATTTCTGAGCTATCTGCACTCTGAGATTCTGCGTGTGTGTGTGTGTGTGTGTGTGAGTGTTTGTGTGTGTGTGTGTGCGCGCGTGGTGTTAGAAAAGTATTCTATCCCTGAGCTGTCTGTATCCTCAGGTCCTCTCCTCTCGCAATGCCCCCACTCCACTCCGTAAGTGTGTCTCTGTGTAACAGCTTTGGCTGTCCTGGAAGTCACTTTGTAGACCAAGCTGACCTTGAACTCACTGAGATTCACCTGCCTCTGCCTCCTAAATGCTGGGATTAAAGGCATGAGCCACCACTACCCAGCAATGAGACAGGGTCTTACTATGTAGCCTAGGCTGGCCTTGGCCAGTCTGTGATCCCCTGTCCCATTCTTATGAATGCAGGGATTAAGTGATAGTCACAAGTATGTGCCAGTTTTCTTGTGGTGTGTATTTCCTTTGTTTGTCTTTTTTGGGGGGGCAATGCTGAGAATGGAACCCAGGGCTTCTTGCATGCTAGGTAAATGTTCTGTCACTCAGCTCTCTTGTGTTAATTTTTAATTTTAAAAAAATTTTATGAGAGCAGGTGTGGTGGCACACATCTTTAATCCCAGCACTTGGGAGGTAGAGAGGCAGGCAGATCTCTGTGAGTTTTAAGTCAGCCTGGTCAGATTCCAGGACAGTCAAAGCTACACAGAGAGACCCTATCTCGGAAAACAGCCAAAGACTAAACACTGGGCTATAAAGGTCCTGTAGACCAGTTGATGCAGGCTGGAGGATGGATCCGTGGCAGAGCACGGATGTATGCAGCCCCATTTAGTGAAAATCAGACCCAAGTCTTCCCCTGGGATTTCAGATGATCTGTCATTGATAGAACAGAGAGACACGGACACACATCCAGACTCGGTCGTGTGAAGTGGTGAACAAGAGGCAGAAGTACATTCACTTAACCTGGGTCCCTGATAAACACACGGGAGGGAAAGAAAAGACCAGAGCCTGTGACAGAGGTGACAGCGCTGCCAAAGACCAGGAATCTGCCATGAAATATACTTATGACTACGGTTCCTATCACACATGCCAGCCTGGCGAACTGACACCAGCAAGCGGCTGGCCACCCAAGCTGTATATCTTCTAGAAGGACACCCTCCTGGAACTCCTTCAGACGTGGCCAGGGATGGTGGGGACCTGTAGGTGACACAAATGTCCTTTCAGAAGGCAGAAGTAAAGCCCACTGCTAGGGGCCGCGGTCCTGGCAGTTCCCACGCAGACAGTGTACTCATTTTTTTCCAAGCTGGTCCTCTATAGTTTGTTTTCCTCCCCCAGCGTCACAGGCTGTGATGGGTCAATGTGAGAGGGACAGCTGGGTTCCAGCTCACAGGTCATGTGGACTGCTGGAGAATTACTGGTCAGCAGCCAGGGACGTGGCCTCTGAGGAGGATGCAGGGCCTGGATGGAACTTCCCAGCAGCAACCTTGGGGCTAACTACAGACAGACAATTATGTGCACATCAACAAATATTCTCTCTTTTATCTGGCTGTAGCCCAGGAAAGATGGAGTTTCCAGGGCCCTGCAGCTAAGATGACCAACTCTTCCCCAGAGAGAACACCAGGGGTAATGTACACAACTTCCATCTCACTGTGAGACAGGAAGTGTCTGGCTGGTTTAGACAGCTCTTCCTCTTCCTGCTCAGATGCAGGAACAGTGCCCTGCAAAGCTGCAGCCCTGCCTGGGTCTCTGAATGACCGCCAAGAGCAAGCCTGCTGGTCTGCAAGGCTTACCGTGTTCCAGATACACTTCCATGCTTCAAAGGCATACTAGTAGATTATTAGAGCAGGTTTCCTAACACACACTACTATGTCTCTAATGGGCCAAACCTGAAAAAAAATGTAAAAGCTTAAAATAGATGGTTTAAAAAAAGTTCACAAATGCTCTAAGGAATCTGGTGTGTCTGGCCTCCTCAGGTACTTGTACACGCATGCACATATACTCACGAAGTCATAAATGTACACACGTAAATAAAAACAAACCTTTAAAAATGAATATCTGGAGCAGACACGGCAGTGCACACCTTTAGTCCCTGCATTCAGAATGTAGAGACAGGTGGAACTCTGATAGCTTGATCTATGTAGTGAGTTCTGGGTCAACCAGGGCTACCTGCTGAGAACCCAAAGCAAAACATCCAAAACACTGCAATAGTGTGAGGACTGAGGACCAGGCTTGTCTGCGTGTTCCGCAGGAGGAAAGACTGCGCTGAAAGGCAACAGCGGAGGGCAGCGGTCCAGACCTGAGGCCAGTTCTCACCTGAACTTTGTGGAACATTTGTAAGTTAATTGCTTTGACTTCCTCCAGCTGCTGGCGGAGGGCGACGAGCGTGTCCTGCTTCTCGTGGGTGTCCTTCTCCAGTAACTTCATGGCGATTTCCATCTCAGTCTTCATCCCAATTTGTAACTCCAGCTCCTTTTCTAGTTCCTTCAAAGACACGGATGAGGAGAGTCTACTGAAAGAGGCAGTGTCAGATTTACCTGAGGGGGGAGTCCCTGCAGGCAGGGCAGGCCTGCGAGACGGAGAAAGGTCTGCCAGGACTTCTTAAGGCCATCCTCTCCTCCACACTTCCTGCCTGCCTTCTTTCCCCTGGCCCTCCCACCTTCCCTTTCCCTTCTCCCTGCTCTTCTTCCCTCCTCTCCTCTCAGTTTTAGAAAGAGTTTAACTGTGTAACCTAGGCTGGCCTTTAACTCATAATCTTCCTGCCTCAGCTCCTGAGTTGCCGGGAGTAGAGTATGAAGACACTAGCTCTGCATCAAGTCAACAGAACACTGACTTGGCAACATGAGCCAGAGTTCTGTAAGTCAGGTTGTTCCCATAAGGAAAACAGAAGCCAGGGTCTGCAGGAATGCTTGACTTGTGCACCAGGAGACCTGACGGGGTAAGACAGTGTCTGAATGCTCTGGACTTTACTGCGGCCCAGGCGCCACCATCCTGAAATGGTTCTTTCTGTCCTGGGTACCTCAGAGCATGGTGCCCCACATACATCCCAGGAAGCCAAGACAAGAAAGCACACAGGAGAACTAGGTTTGGAAAGGAACTGTGGCCAGCAGTGCAGAGTGAAGTAAGTGGCCAGAGCCTATGACCGAGGGGACAGACTGGTCTCCTAACAGCCTCTAGAAAAGACTCATCCATTGGGCACAACACAAATATCACAGAACTGCAGACACGAGCTAAAAAGGACAGTTTCTGTCTCTCCAGGAGGGTCAGCACGTGCAAGCAGGTTTATGTAGCATGGAAGGCAGCTGACGGACTCTCGCTAAGGACGCTGGGTCCCACTCACCAGTCGGACTTTCTTCTCCTCCTTCAGCTGCTTCCAGACATCGCTGTACATTTCGTCCAGGCCCTGCCGGGTCTGCTTGTAAGTCTCCAGCTCAACTCTGGTGTCCTGCTTTGTTATCTGAATCACACAAGAACACCAAGAACGATTCACGCTTGGAAAGTCAACTAGCGACAATACATTTCAAAATATGATATGTCACTTTTTTTTTTTTTGAGACAGTTTTTCTCTGTTGCCCTGGCTGTCCTGGAACTTGCTCTGTTGAATAGGTTAGCCTTGAACTCACAAGATCCTCCTGCTTCTGCCTCCTAAGTACTGGGATTAAAAGTGTGTGTCACCACCTCTGGCTTAATTTTCTACCTTTAAAACATGATGAATCTTGAGCCAGCCATGTATCTGATGACTCTTAAAGATATAACAACCTGAAAGATGAAAGATGCTAATAGATCTGTGTATGGCTATGTAATAGGGTCTCTCTATGTACCTCAGGCAGGACTTGAACTTGTGATCCTCCTGCTTCTGCCTCTTGCATGCTAGGATCACAGGTGTGTGGCTAACAAGTTAGGCTGGGTAATGGTTTAGTTAATTTTATTTACAAGAGGACAAGAAATCCTGGTGGGAAAGGCTCGTACTTCATCTACCACACAGTGTTTGCTGCCAGCTTTATCTAGCACTGGGGGACTTATGGTGACTCAGACCTGATCTCTATGGCTGAGCCACCAGTCTTACAGACGGCCAGGTGCACCTGCCGTGAAGAAGGAACAAAATGCCAGGGGAGTATGGGAGAAAGAAGGTCGCGCCCAGTCATGGAACCAGGGACAAAATGACAGCCCACTCAGCACTGAGCCAAAATTAAAAAGAACAAACTGGAACTCTGGAGTACAAAGGCTGGGGTTTCAGAAGTCTTAAGTGATCCAGGTGGCCTGTGAGTGACACGGTAGGGACACCCTTTGTACATTCTGGAGACTGGGACAGAGTGAAGTCACAGCTGGCCTTGCTATCTGCAGGCTCAGCACCAGCGCCCTCATTGACCACGGGGTGGGGGATAGTGAAGACCTTCTGCACACAACAGACTCAGACTTTCTTCCCTAGACAAGCCAGGGTGGCCCGTTTCCCTAGCTCACTTTATTTTTTTTTCCAATTTTAAAAAAATAATTATTTGACTTTATTTTATAGGCATTAGTGTAAAGGTGTCAGATCTCTGGGAACTGGAGTTACAGACAGGTGTGAGCTGCTATGTGGGTGCCAGTAATTGAACCCGGGTCCTCTGGAAGAATGGCCAGTGCTCCTAATGGCTGAGCCATCTCTCCTGTCCCTCCACAAGTCACATTAAAACATCCTGAAGGACATGCGATGCATAGGCTATCTGTGACAGTGATGCCATTTTATACAAGAGACTTAACACTCTAGGGGAATTCTGAAGCCTTTCCCCATGATGCCAAGGGGCAGCAAGAGCCAGAGACTAGCGACGGTGTGCATGAGAGCAGTGCCCAGCCTTCAGGGCCCCCTCTCACCTCCACACTCTTTTCGCTTCTTTCACGAATTAATTCATTCTGTTCTCTCAGCTGCTGTTGTTCTTCTTGAAGGGAAGAAATTCGGTCTGTTGCCGCTGAAAGCTGATTAAAAAAGATTTCTTACATTTTTTAACATCAAAATTAATCTTGCAGTCCAAATTAAGAGCTGACATTTACTTAGATTCTACACAATTTACAATGCATCTTAATGTTTGCTATTTTACTTGCTTGCTTTGAATAGGAAATGCATGGTTCAAACTTCCAAAGACATCTACGTAGTAAAACCTCGGCCACATACGCCTAGCTTTCTGTAACGTCTCCATTTCCCCCCATACTGCAAAACCAGTTATTTGATTTTTCATGTGAGTGATAATTTATGTTCACATACACAGAGAAGAAAAAACTAGAGTTCAGACAGTAACTACTACAAGAGCACCAAGCAGAAATCTGTTATTATCCAAACATTTAGAATAATTTTTAAAAATTTATTATTATTATTATTATTATTATTTTCCAAGACAGGTTTCTCTGTGTAGTTCTGGCTGTCCTGGAACTCAGAGATCTGCCTGCCTCTGCCTCCCGATTAAAGGCATGTGCCACCACTGCTTGGTGGTTAGAACAGCTTTTAATGACTTGAGAAGATACTTATACCAGGAGAGGGAAAGTGTGTATGGTATGCTCTTGCCTGTAATTAAAAAAATCAGATCCCAAATTTGTAAAATAAACACTGTTTATGTTAATGATAGGCAAAGGGATGATGAACATCTTTTTTTTTTTTTTTTTTTTTTTTTTTGACTCACTGTTCTTTCCAGGGGTGTTTTTGTTTTTTGGGACAGGGACTCACTGTGTAGCTACTGGCTGTTCTGGAACTCGCAGAGATAGATATGCTGCTGCCTCTGCCTCCTGAGTACTGGGTTAATATTGTGTGCAGCCACACCCAGCCACGTTTGCTACTATTGCATGTGTCTGTGCATGCATGCTTGCCTGTACAAGCACATGTGATTACCGGAAGTGACAGTGGGGTCTTCTCCATTGTCCCACCTTACTTTTTGAGGCAGGGTCTCTCATTGGACCTGGAAGGTGCTGCTTTGGCTAGGCTTGCTGACCCAGCAAGGCCCTGGATCTGCCTGTCTCTGTTTCCCAGCACGGCGGTTCTAGACATGTGCTGTCCGGCCTGGCTTTGACTCAGGTGCTGGAGATGCTGGCTCAGTTCCTCAGGCTTGCGAAGTAAGTGTTTTAACCCTGACCCATCTCCCCAATTCCCATTTTCAGTTTCTTGATAAGCAGAAATATTTTTATTGTCAAGGGAGACTAAATATTCTGGAGTAAAGAATCAAACTTAAATCATTATAAACAGACCCCAGAGGAACACGTCCTCTCCTGAAATATGTCATCGTGGCTTAAGGGAAGGAAAGTTGGATTTGCTCATGAATGTGTCCAGCAAACAGATATCATGGGAGGCAATGGGGACAGGACAACACAGAAGGCAGACCCCCTCCTTCTTCTAGCTCCAGGCTCCAGTCTGCAGAGGGGGAAGGAGACTAGAGGAGGAGCAAAAGCAGGCCACCTGCCCACTTTTCCTCAGTGGCGGGGTCCCAAGGCACTGAACTGTCCTCTAAAACCCTTCAGCGTTCTCCTCCGACCCCAGCTGACCTTTCTAAACTGCAGCTGTGCCTAAGAAAGACCTCGAAGGACCTGAAGGTGTTCAGCTCCTTCCCACCCCCTGAGGTGAATTCTCTAAAGGACATCTTTTTTGTTTCGTTCTTTTGAGACAGGGTTTCTCTGTGTAGGGCTCCCTGTCCTGGAACTTGCTCTGTAGACCAGGCTGGCCTCAAACTCAAGAGTGCTGGGATTAAAGGTATGTGCCATCGCCTGCTCTGAAGGACATCTTTTCCTACAGTTACGTGCTGAAGCAAACACCCAACCACTGCGTTTCAGGTGTCCACTCAGACTTCCAGTTGAAGCATCCCACCTGGCTGGGGAGCAGTGCTTTGCTCTGAAGTCACCCAAGTCTCCAGCCCCTCCCCAGTGCTGCTTCATGGGTATTTGTACCACAGTAAACTGACTGAATCTCTACAATAAAATTACAAAATCTATGCATCACCCAACTTGGAGACATTAAAACAAGGCTTAAAGACCTACGGCCTCCATAGGACTCCAAGACCTGCCTCGCAAGAAAGATACATGTGAGTCCCAGGGCTAATGGCAGTGGCTCCTACCATGACATTCCCCTGGGAATACTGTCTTTGCATCTCCTTCAACTTACACAATCCTGAGCCCCTCCCTTAAACGTCCCTAAGGAGCCAGTCAGCCTACAGTGAGCCTCATTGGGTCCTTTACTCACAGACCCTCCTAGCTTACTGCACCCTGCCTCCATGCTGCGGGGTGTCCCTTTTTAAGCCCCTCCTCAAAGCTCTCCTCCTTCCTACTACCTGTGGAAAGCCTCAAGGCTGAGCAACCCCCCTTCTGCTAACAGGAGACAAGATGTGTCCACCAGGGAGACTGCTGGGCAGCGGGCAGCAAGCCTTCTTCCTCGGCCTCAGCCCTCCTTCTTCCTGTCCTTTCATTCTCTCTCTTCCTAGTGAGAAAGCAGAGAAAGACCATGCTGTGGGGAGACTGGATCTGTGCTCGCTAGAGGCCAAAACAGGAGGGTGGGCTGGGTGCCTCTCGGGCGGTCTGTGCTCTTTGAGGCAGCAGGGAAGCACATGACACTACAGCAAAGGTGGGCAGAGAAGAAAACTACCATTTCCCATCTGCCCGATGGTGCATTAACCAGAGGTGATAAACGGAGGCCACTGGGAACTGCCTCAGGAGCAGTGTCTCACTAGGAGCCCTGCAGGTGAACATAAACGCTCCTGTGCAGTTCCAGCTGAGGCTAGCTCTTCTTCCTTCCAACAAGATGCTCTGGTCAGATGTACCAACATCCCAACTCTTTCTCTCTTTATTCTTCTTGTACTGTGTACTGAGCCTAGGGCCTCGTCTATACTAGACAACACTGTACCATGGCATCCTCTTTACTTTTTTTTGAGACAGTCTCGGTAAGTTGTTCAGGCTGGTTTTGGACTCACTCTCTAGCCCAGGCAGGCTTTGAACTTGTAATCCTGATTCAACCTCCCAAGTAACTGGAATGACAGGCCTGCTGTCACCAAGCTGACTTATACCACTTCTCTTAACCTTGGGTCATTCTATTTTGTTTAAGCAAAAGTTACAAACCTCTTCTTGAAGCTTTGAGTTCGTCTTTTCCAAGCCATCTATCTTGGTCTGAAGATCCCCAACTGTGCAGCTAGAGAGAATAAACACATGAGGTCTAAACTTAAAGCAGTGGACTGTTTCCCAGCTGGTGAATGAGAAGGGAGAGTCCTGACTTCCTCCATGAAAGAGAGGCACAGGACTGCTCAGAATTCTGAGGTAGAAACTCAGTTTGTGTTGATACTGAAATAATGACAATCAAAAACCACTGTCATCTGGGCTGTGGTGGGGCGCACCTTTAATACTAGCACTCGGGAGGCAGAGGTAGGCAGATCTCTGTGAATTCGAGGCCAGCTTGGTCTACAGAAAGAGTTCTGGGACAGTCAGGTCAACACAGAGAGACCTTGTCTTGAAAAGTCAACAAAACACAAAACAAAACAAAAAAACCAAAACCCACTGTCAATAAATCTCATCCACCAAACAGTCTACTTATCCCATTACTCGGTCAGCTCCAACATAACAGATGGTGAGACTCAAAGCTGTATTTGCAGCCATATTAAACCTTTATGTCTTGTTTTCCTATTTGAGACAGGGTTTCTCTGTGTATCTCTGGCTGTCCTGGAACTCACTCTGCAGACCAGGCTGGCCTCAAACTCAGAGATCTGTCTCCCAAGTGCTGGGATTAAAAGGCGTGCACTGCCATGCCCAGTCAAGATCATCAGGCTTGGTGGTGTCTGATCCCCTGGAACTGGAGTTACAGGTGATTATGAGCCTTCACTCACTGAGCTATCTTGCCAATCTCCTTTAAATTTTTTTTTGTTTGTGTGTACTTTTGTGTGTGTGCACATGTGTAGGCCAGAAGCTGACCCTAGGTATTTTCCTAAATTGTTCTTCACTTCTTTAAAAAGATTTATTTTAGCTAGGCAGTGTGGCACACACCTTTAATCCCAGCACTCAGGGAGGCTGAGGCAGGTGGATCTCTGTGAGTTTGAGGTCATGCTGGTCTACAGAGTGAGTTCCAGCCAGAGCTACAGAGAGAAACCCTGTTTTGTTTTGTTTTTCAGCTTTATTTTTTATTTTGGTTTTCCAAGACAGGGTTTCTCTGTAGCTTTGGAGCCTGTCCTGGAACTAGCTCTTGTAGACCAGGCTGAACTTGTACTCACAGAGATCCGCCTGCCTCTGCCTCCCAAGTGCTGGGATTAAAGGCGTGTGCTACCACCGCCTGGCTCAGATTTATTTTTATGCTTATGTGTTTTGCCTGTATGTATTCTGTATGTGTGCCTAGTAGCTAAGGAGGCCAGTAGAGGGTATCAGGGCTCCTGGTACTAGGGTTACAGATGGCTGTGGTTCACCCATGTGGGTGCTGAGAACTGAATCCAGGGCCTTTGCAAGAGCAGCAACTGTTCTTAACTGCTGAGCCATCTCTCCAGTCTCACCCACTAAGCCTTTTGAGACCAGGTCTCTCACTGAATGCACAACTCACTGAGTGGCTAGAATGGTTGGCCAGAAAGTCCTCAGGATGTGCCTGTCTCCATGTCCCCAAGGCTGAGGTTACACATGTACATGGCAGTGCCCAGTGTTTTATGTGGGCACTGGAGATTTGAACTCAGGTCCTTGTGCATTTGCAGCAAGCTCTTCACACACTGAGCCATCTCCCTAGCTGCAAGACGAATTTTTATTTATTTTATGTATATATGAATTTTCCTGCATGCACATCTGTACTAAATGTGTGCCTGATCCCTGCAGAGGTCATAAGAGGACGTCTGCTCCCCGGAACTGGAGTTACAGGTGATTATGAGTCAGCACACAGATGCTGGGAATTGAATTCAGATGCTCTGGAAGAGCAGTCAATGCTCTTAACTGCTGAGCTGTCTGTCTAGTCCTGCAAAGCTAATTTTTAAATCTTATACTTTTCTACATTTTGAAACATTCTTTTCCTGAGTGCTTGGATTAAAGGCTTTTGCTAACACGCCCCACCTATATCTCTGTCTGTCTGTCTGTCTGTCTATATTTATTTATTTATTTTGGTTTTTCGAGACAGGGTTTCTCTGTGTAACAGCCTTGGCTGTCCTGGAATTTGCTCTGTAGACCAGGCTGCCCTCAAACTCATAGAGCTCCACCTACCTCTGCCTACCAAGTGCTGAGATTAAATGTGTGTGCAACCACTGCCCAGTTTAGATTCATTTTTTATGTGCATGAGTGTCCCGAATATATGTGCCATCATGAATAGATGTGTGCACATGTGTGCAGCACCTAAGAGGCCAGAGGGGGAGTGTTAGATCTCCTAGAGCGCTGGGCTACTGTGTGGGTGCTGTGCAAGAGCCACGAGTATTCCTAACCAAATAGCCACCGCTTCAGCTTAAAATAGTAAAAGTAATATTTTAAATTACTTTTATATTGTAAAAAATGTAAAGAATCTGCAAATAGGTTTGATGATAGCAGTAAGCCCTATGAGAAAAGCAGGGACTTAGCCAAACCATCTTTGTTGTAAGCATTTTAAATGCATCAGCTCACTTAATTTTCCCTATAACTGGAAGAGGTAAATTATTCTGTTAGATGATTAAACCTAAGCATTTATCTTAAGGAACTTAAGTATATGCATGTATGTATGTAAATATATATATATATGGATGTCCTCTCTTACCCAACTTTTTTTCTTTTCTTTTTGTGGGGAGAGTGATGGGGATGGAACAGAGGGCATCTCTGACTCAAACCCCAGACTCCCCCTGCCTTTTTTTTTCTTTCTAATTTTAAGGTTTTAAGCCAGACATAGTGGCACACGCCTTTAAACCCAGCACTGGAGAGGCAGAGGCTGGTGGATCTCTGTGGGTTCCAGGCCAACCAAGACTACATATTCAGACCCTATTTAACGCACACACACACACACACACACACACACACACACACACACACACACACCATCTGTGCACATGTGTGCAGGTGTCGACAGAGGAACTGGCAGTTGAGAGCGGCCTGAGGTGGGTACTGGGAACAGAACTCTGAAACCTCTCTCTCATTCCTTCCTTTCTCCTTCATATTATTTGTTTCCTTTCCCGAGGCTGCCTGCCCTGCGTATCTGCCTCTCTGTGCTGTACAAACAAAGCCAAGGAGGTGCCCAAAGCTGTTCGTCAGGCGGGTGTCCTCTTCCAGGTGGGACGCACGAATGTGGCTTGAGTGGTTCCAGCTTTTCCTCGGCTTGGAGAAAACTCACGGATGAGAGTTAATGGTGGAGCCCCACAAAGCTCAGTGGAATAACTGGAGCTGAGGAGGAGTGAGCCTTACCTTAAGTGCCGATTGAGTTCTTCCACGTAATTTTTCTGATCAAGGACATCGGTAATTCTTTCGTGCCTTGTGAAAAGAGTACACAAAAATAAGGACTTCTTAAAGTCATGTCAAACCATTTGTAATGGTTCCCCAACTTTCTTGTAGAAACCAAGAGGCAGTCAGAGCTACGTAATGGAATAAACAGAAAACAGGGCTGGACTGAGCTAGCAGCAAGGCTTAGGGACAGGCTGCCCTGACAGCAGGGGCCCTGCAGAGACCACCCAATCCCCAGACTGCCTGGGCTGCTGCAGGGAGGACAGAAAGCCATAGGCGTTTGTGCACGGTGAACACACCTGCCTGCCGCATGTAATGGTTCTGCAAGTGGCTGATGACACAGTCCTACTATACAGAAAGAAAGGGACACTTAAGGAAACAAAGACTTTTCAGAAAACAGTAGAGCAATCTACAGGCCAGGGATGTTTGAGTAAAAAAGTCCCCTCCATTTGACAGTCGAGCTTTTCTCTCCGTTTAACTGATTCCTTTTTTAAAAAATTCCAATCATTTAAAAATGTATGTGTTAGCCTGGTGGTGATGGAACATGCCTTTAATCCCAACCCTCGGGAGACAGAGACAGGCAGATCTCTGTGAGTTTGAGGCCAGCCTGGTCTACAGAGCAAGTTCCAGGACAGTTAGGGCTGTTACACAAAGAAACTCTGTCTCAAAAAAGCAAAAAGTGTTTTCCTGTTTGTCAGTGTATGCACCATATGCAAGCACCTGTGGACGTCAGAAGAGAATGTCACATCTCCTAGGACTGGAGCTACAAGTCGCTGTGAGTCACCTGATGTGGGTCCTCTATAAGAGCAACGAGTGTTCTTAGTCACTGAGCCAGTTCACTGCCCTTCTGTGGCCTCTGGAAACATACACTGACATGTGTAGTTACTGTTTCATGCCACAGTTACTGGGTCTGTTTCTCAGTTGCGATTGTTTTTTCTTCTTTTACCTAGTCTTCATTTTACAGAGCTCTCCCAGGTAATCCACAGTAATGGCTTGTTGAGTGTCCTTTTTTGGACATATAACCATCATATCTAGCTAACAGAAATGTAGTACATATATTCATGTAGTATATATTGAACTTTTTTGGTTTATAGAAAAGCAATATGTATATTTCTTGGCATGATACTTTTCTCATTCCATCATCCTACAGGCAGATTTCTCAAAGTCTACAAGAAGCTCAAATTTACTCTTTATGTCTACATAACACGTAATGGTGTGATTCACTACAGATGTCCCATGATTCCTGTAATTCTTTATTAACAGAGAATCTCAAGATATTTCAGCAAAATAAAATAAAATAAAACTGAAGAAATGGTTCAGCGGGTGGACCACTTACTGCGCAAGCCTGGTGCCCTAAAGGTGGTGCAGAGTACCAGCTTCACAACTCCGACCTACATCTGTGTGCTGGGGCATACACACCTGCCCACACGCAACGCCACACGTACACACACACACACACACACACACATACACAGAGGTTTAGAAGGAAGTGACTACAGCAGCTTCCTATGGTGAGAGGGTGGGGCTAGGCTGGAATGGGCAGAGGAGGTGGCATGAGAACGGGTCTCTCACCTCTAGAGTTAAACTAACTCAACAAAGCTACACTGCAAAGCAAAACGAAGCCCATATCTTGCCAGCTGAAGAGCTACGAGCAACATGATACTCACTCTCTGCCGCTGTCCAGATCCTGCACATCCTTCAGGTAGAGGGAGAAGTCGATCACTCCAACCTGCAGAAACCAAGGTCCCAGGCTCAGACACATGGCAGTCTTCGTTCCTGCAAACCTGTGAGACTGAGCTTGCATGTTCATCTCGCTACTGTGTATGCACCCAAAGGAGGATCATGGTATTTATAAAGAGCAGCAAAGATTTGGGGGTCCAAAGTAACTTATTTTATATTTTTTTAAAATTTCATGTGCATTGGTGTTTTGCCTGCACTTATGAACAAAGTAATTTGAAAGAAAATGGGAGAGGAGAGAGAGCACATGCTAGATTTCTAGGCTAAAGTGACTGTCTTGTTTATCTGATACTTCCTTTTTCTTAAAGATTTATTTACTTATTATGTGTACAGTATTCTGTCTGCATATTTTCTTGCAAGCCAGAAGAGGGCATCAGATCTTATTACAGATGGTTGTGAGCCACCATGTGGTTGCTGGGAATTGAACTCAGGACCTCTGGAAGAACAGTCAGTGCTCTTAATCGCTGAGCCATCTCTCTAGCCCCTTATCTGACACTTCTAAGTCCTTCTTTCTACACCTGTCTAGGTTGGTTTTTTTTGGGGGGGGGGTCAACTTGACACAAGCTAGATTTATTTGATGAGAGGGAACAATTGAGAAAATGCTTCTGTGGGCAAGCCTGAGGGGAATTTTTTTTATTGATGATTGATGTGGGGCCCTGAGCATGTGGTCCTGGATGGTATAAGATGGTATATGAACCACAACAATGACCAGAATGTTACAACAACCCTAAGGATGCAGTAGTGGCACAGATACCTCAGCAGTAACCAACTGAACTAACTGAAGACCACTCAACAAGAAGGAAACCATGCCTGGTACTGGAAACCTAGCCAGCTACTCTCGACTAGTGAAGTCATGGATCTTTGAGAGGAACCCACAACCACCACTTCATTAAACCAGCAAAAATCTTAACTACATTCTAAATATTTATCCTTATACACATAGATAAGTGCAGTCCTCACCCCCATTAAGACAACTTCTCTTTGCAACAGATGGAGACAATTACAGAAAACCACAACCAATCAAAATGTAGAGTTGTGGAGCTCAGTCCCAATGGATACATCTACAATACAAGTCCTGCCCTAAGGCTCAGGGATCATCATGAAAGAGGGGATAGAAAAACTTTAAGAGTCAGAGAAGCAGGGAGTCTGCTGTGAGGTTGTGGCTCCTAGGAGTGTCTGAAGCCATAGTTATAAAGTCTCATCCATGACTGCCTAAACATGAGCTGAACCAGGACAACAACAACAGACACGCTAATGTGCATGGGAGGGATAGAGGGGGAAGCCCAAGAGGCTTCAGCCTACACAAAGAACTACAGGCAACTAAGGAATGCTAAGAGCTGGAGAAAGTCTTCCTCAGAGAAAGCATACCAATTGTTTATCTAATACTAAATGATCAGCCCTGAAAACACACATACAAGTAACATTATACAGACCGAGCAGGTTGTATTTATATACTTAGGAATACACACACATGATTTTTTTAAGGGAATGCAACCTTCAAAGAAAGAACAAAACAAACAAGCAAAGAGCCAACTTTGTGTTTTACTAAACTGTGGTCCAAACAGGAGGATGACCGTCTCCCAGCTCAATCTATGAGGAACACAGGCCCACAGGAAACTCAGATAGTTTTTCTCCTAAGCAGAAGCACACGATTCAGGGGTATAGGAAAAGAATATGAAACGATGACCAAATGGGTCTTATTTCAGGAACACGGCGACAGTACTGTATGGAAAAGCCATACACTAACTGCTCTGTTTGAGTTAAAACAGGTGCCAATCAAATAAGACATCTGATAGCATTCAATGTTCACTTCTAATAAAAATACAAATTAGGAAACCAGAATAAAACTGTGTTTATATTTATATTTTTCAGAGATATCCATCTATTTATCTATTTATGTATCTATCTACCTATCTATCTCTATTTTTGGAGACAAAGTCTCACTAAATGGTCCAGCCTGGCCTTAATCTTACAATCCTCTTGCCCTGGTCTCCTAAGTACTTGGCTTACAAGTATGTACCACCATGCCCAGCTTACAACAGTACTTTTATTTTTATTAAATAATGTTTTTTTTGTGGATGCGTATAAGTTATTGTTTGTGGTGTGTGCATGTCAGTATGTGTGCATGCTAGTGTATGTGAGCTAGTGTGTATGCATTTGGAGGCCCCACGTTGACTCTGAGTGTCTTCAGTTTGATATTTGATCAGAGTTGAGTGTTTTATTAAAGATATGTTAATATAGGCGTCAGCATAAGGATTAGGGGAAAGAGGTGCTTAGAAGTCAGTGAGGTACTTGAGGGCAGGCTGTGGGCTTACTTTTTTTCTTTTATTTTTTGAGAAGGGTCTCACTACCTTGCTGGCCTGAAACTCACTAGGTCAAGCTTGCCTGACACTTACAGATATCCATCTTTCCTCTGTTTCCCCAGTGCTGATATTGAAGGCCTATACCACCACTCCCAGCCTCTTTTTTAATAAAATTTTTGATACAATGTAAAATTTATTGGTGGTGGTATTTATATTTATTTTATGTGTATGGCTGTTGAACCTGCTTGTATATCTATGTACCAGTGCATGCAGTGCTTGTGAAGGCCAGAAGAGGGCACTGGTTCCTCTGTAACTGGAGTTCGACAGCTGTTATCTGCCATGTGGGTGCTGGGAATTAAACCTGGGTTCTCTGGAAGAATAACCAGTGCTTTTAACCAGTGAGCCAGTTCTCCAGTCTCCCCATCCTCTTCTTTCTTTTTTTTTTAGATATGGTTTCATGTATCCCAGACTGGCCTTGAACTTGGCTATGTAATGAGAATGACCTTATGACCTTCAACTTCTGATCCTCCTGGCTCCACTTTCAGAGTGTTAGGATTACAGGCATGCACCACCATGCCTGGCTTATGGAGTTTGGAACTGAACCCAAGACTTGTGCAAGTTATGCACGCACTCTACCAACTGAGCCCCTGCCCTGGCTCTGCCCATGCTACATCTTCACTCTTCTGAGAGCTTCTGAGCAGCTCTCCCTCCCCCACCCAGCACCGCAGTCTGCCCTAACCTCTACCAAAGGCCTCTTGCCTTCTGTTACTTTCTTAGGTTCAGTACAAGTCTGTGGATTTCATGTAAAAAATTCCTGGCCCAGGCTGGAGAGATGGCTCAGTGGTTAAGAGCACTGGTTGCTCTTCCAGAAGTCCTGAGTTCAATTCCCAGCACCACATGGTGGCTCACACCCATCTGTAATGAGATCTGGTGCCCTCTTCTGGCGTGTAGGCATACATGCAGAGGAACACTGTATACATTAAAAAAAAATTCCTGGCCCGATTCATCCCATCAAAGCCTAAATCCCATATTACCTGAGAATCCAAGTCTTCTCCCTTTAAGCAGAGATTGGCGTCCAGAACGTTGAGTCCCACCAGCAGACCAACAATCACCATGCCCTCTTCCTCCATCATTAGTGCCTCAGGCTCATAGAACTCACTGCAAGAGACGGACAGGTCAGGGGCTGCTCAGGAGTCCCTTTACCACTCACCCTCACCCCAGCACCCCCCTTGCCACCTGGCTTCCTGCTCTACCCTGGAGCAAGGGACCCTCAGGGAGTTTCCTTCCTCCCACCATGTCAAGTGCTTCCTCTTCTGCTATAGTTAGATCCTAAGTGTCTCTCAAAGACCCAAGTGGTAAAGTTGCTCTCCAGCTTGGTGCTGTTAAAAATGTAAGAAGTGGGGGCCAACTGAGACATTGCTAGGTTGTTGGGGGTGTGCTCTGAAGCAGACGTGATCTTTGCCCTCCCCTCGTTCTCACTTCGTGACCAGGAAAGTCAGCAGCTTTTATTCTACCCACCACACGCCTCCTTCACAATCTACTGCCTTGCCACAGGCATGAAGCAAGAGGGCCAATTATGGACTTAAACTGTGAGCCAAACAGACCTCTTCTTTTTCTTTCACGTATGTACAAGTTTGTGTGGGATCATGTATGTGGATGCACATGCACATATGTGTGTACATGCCAGAGGTCTGTGTACGTATGGTATTTTTCTCTGCATGAAGCAGCTGCCGAGTCCAGTTTTTCAATGTAGGCCCTGGGGCCTGAACCTCACGCCTGCGCCACAAGCAGTTTGCAAACTGAGCCACCTCTCCTTTACGACCTGATTCTTTCAGGTGTTTTATGACAGCAACAGAGAGTGCACTGGGCCTAACAGGCTCCTCCACTTAGATCTTGATCTCCTTCCTTCTCATCCACTCTTGGCCACTGTCTTGACCATTCTGCTTCGTGCCCCTGTGTCTTCACTGCCTTCTATCTGCGTATGAAACTTAGGATCTGGAACACTGGTCACCAGGGCTGGCCTGGGAGGAGACAGTGGACAAAGGCACCTGCCAACAGCCTGAAAACTTAAGCTGATCTCTGGAACCCACTGGGCTGAAGGACAAAACTTAGCTGTGTGTGGTGGTACACATTTTAATCCTAGTAGTTTTAATCCTGGGAGGCAGAGGCAGGAGGATCTTTGAGTTTGAGGCCAGCCTGGCCTATAGAGTGAGTTTCAGGACAGCTAGGGCCATGCAGAGAAAGAAACCCTATAAATAAAAAAAAGAAAAAAGAAAAAACCTGATTCTTCCTCAGTTTGTTCTCTGTCCTGTACATGTGTGCCATGGTATACATAATCCCCCAAATAAATAAGCAAATTTATAAAACAAGTAAAACCAAAAATCAAAATGATCTGTGTTCAACAATAAGTCATGACTTGAAAATTCTGAAAAATCGAGGTCTAGGCTATCATGCAAAGGATATTTTTATCTGAACTAGACAAGAAAATTAACTCCAGAGATTTCTGCAATATCAATTTTCAGTCTAGAGGAAATCCCTTTTATAATTGCTAATTGTTTATACATAAAAATAAAGAATGAGCCAGACATAAATTTCATTGACAAAAATATTAAGTTTTTTTAAATTTATTTTACATGTATGGTGCTCTATCTTCATATATATACCTGCAGGCCAGAAAAGGGCATTAGATCCCATTATAGATGGTTCTGAGCCACCATGTGGTTGCTGGGAATTGAACTCAGGACCTCTGGAAGAGCAGCCAGTATTCTTAACTGGATATGAAATTTTCAGCTAGATTAATGTACCTATGTTTTCTTACAAAAAAAAATCACCTACTGTCCCTAGTTTAAAAGATATTTTATTCTTGTTATCATCTAGTTTAGTAAGTATCATTTTATTAAAACTTAATTGAATGCTGCTAGCTACCAAATTATAAGTATTAACATTCTGGGAGATTCAAAGCTGTGAGTCTCATTTACAATGCTTCTGTGATATCAGGGCTCCACAAAGAAACACTTCAAACCAAGCCTCAGAGCATGAAGGCTAGTAATGATTTCAATCTTAGCTCTGAACATTCCAGTTCCTTTATTTCATAATGATCTGCAGACTATGCTGCAACTACGAAGTAAAAGACAAACACAATGTGGAATACCTTAAGAGATGCTTATTGTCTATGAGGACTTTCAGATAATCTGCCAGCTTCTTTTGCATGAGAGCAAGATACAGCCAAGCTCTGCCTCTTCCCACGGCCGTCCTAGAAATCAGAGAATCAGACCAATAAGGCATAATAACAGCAACAAATACAAAAGAAAACAAATTATTTGGGCGATAACACACACACACACACACACACACACACACTCACAGAGAGAAAAGTTACATGATAGTTTGGGGTTAGAGAGGTTCTGTGTGGGCAGAGAGAATGCTTACTGTACAAGCTAGGTACTTGTTGAATTTTGTACCACAGGCATTTCAAGTGTTTGAGTATTATAAGATTTCTGAGGCACGGGCTCATACATGCAATTTTATGTTTGTACTAAAATACGATGCAAGATATACATCGTGGGCTGGAGACACAACTGCAATTTCCCTGATTCCCACATTCCACCTGGCGTGGGTGCCTCAGTCCTCTGCAAGAGTGACAAGCACTCTTATTGCTGAGCCATACCTGCAGCCTCAACAACAAATTTAAACTACGTGAACCATGTGGCGGGAGGCAACTGCTGTCTTGATCCTGAAGAGCAGGAGTCTGAGGCCCAGGAAGTTTCAAGTCTTAAGGTCACGTGAATAGTGTGCAGCACAGGTGGGATTAGATTGGAGCCCAAGTTGGGTATGGTTCCTGCCAGAGTGTTCCAGACCAGAGGAGAAGCGAGTCGAGGCAAACAGCAGACAGTAAAGAGCAAACGTTCAGTCAGTATCACGACTACTTACTCACTTTAGTTCTGGAAGATTCCTGACACTGGTAGCTATATCTGATGCTTCGGGGCAGAGTTTTTCCACCAGCTCCAAAGGTCCAAAGAAAGATTTATTTTGGCCAATGAAACTCTTCTTAACTAAAAGGGAAAACAATAGTGTTAGACACGAGAACAGGACGCAGTTTCTTCGGGGGCCCATAGTTTCTCTTTCAAAAGCCAGGCAGTGTGACACAGCCCCACACTCAATTCTGTGAGCCAGACTTTCGGACTTGCAGCGGCCACAGAACAAATCAGCTCTGCTTTCTTTTGGCAGTGAGCTTCCTCTGTCATTGTGTTCTTTCTTCAAGAACTTGCTGCTTATGAACTGAAATCTGTGAAATCCGACCACCTCTGTCCTGGTGGGCAGCATCAGTGCTCAACTTCTGTCACAGTCGCTTCCCCACTGAATTGCCACAATAACCTGATTGTTTTTCCTAGTATCTTCATGTCCCTACCCTTATAATTTGTTCTCAATTTGGCAAAGTTTTTTTCTTTTCTTTTCTTTTTTTTTAAGATGCAAACTAAGTCACATTTCCTCCTCAAATGCCTCCAAACTCAGAAGAAAATACAGCTCCCTGTCATGACCTCTTAAGGGCCTGCATGATCCAGCCCCTCCCTGCTTCCCAGGTCTCATCTCCCATCCTTGCATCCCACACTTCCTGGTTACCAGGCGTCTGTCTCAAGCTAGGGCTGGTCTCAGGACATGTGCACCTTTGTAGCTATTTCATTTTGTCTCTTGTGCTAGGAATGTTGTGGACCCAAATCTCTGCAGGGTTCTCTCGTCCTTAAGTCTCAGCTCACAAGTCAAGCCTGCAGAAAGAACTTTTCTTCGTGCGTCTGAAATACCCTGACTTCATTCTTTACCACCTTACTTATTTTGTTTCCCTGAACTGGTAGCATTTTGTAATTCTGTGTTTCTGTCACTGTCTTGGCCACCGACGGCCACACGTCTTACTAATGGTGCACCTGCAGTGTGCCTCGTGCAGCCTAGGGACTGGAATGTCATGTGCTGCCAATGTAAAACACGGCAGATTTTAAGCCTTACTATTAGAAAGTGCCAACCAGAGAACTAAGAACGGTTTCTGCGGCTGGCAGTGCCGCTTGCACTGGACAGTACTGCTCCAGATCACGGGGAACCTGTCCGTTTTGTGCGCTCCTCTCCTCTCTACACCCACCACAATGCTTGGCACTAGCCAGAACAAAGACTTAGCCCAAATTTCTATGCTCCTAAACGCCCCCAGGCTCACCTTTCAGCCCATGTTTGAGGCAATGCTCCATCACTACAAAGAACTGCTGCAGGGGGGCGTGGTCTGCATCCAGACTGCGTCCCAGGCTAAGGGCAGACTGGAGTAAGACCTTAACGCTGAGCTTCATCATGTGCATGAGGTTGGCACGCTCCTCCATCATCTGGCCCTTGGAAGCTGCGGGCACAAGCAAGGACAGATTCGTTAGTGGACTGAGAGGGGCATGGAGGTGAGAGGGGTCAGTGGCACGGCAGAGGACCAGGGGCTTGCTCAGGGTGAGGACGCACTGGCGGGAGGATATTCAGGACTCGTAGTCAAATCGCAATCCATCTCTGCTGGCCACAGCTCCTAAACAGCCACCTGGGCTTTGTGTGGAAGCAGAGGCCGATGCTTCCTCGCGTTGCTAGAGCGATGACTCTAGCAAGGCTCGCCGCGATTGGTTTCTTCCCTGACCAATGAGAGGACGCAAAGTCTAAGCTGCCTTGCCCCCAAGCTAGAAGGCGTGCAGAGAAAGCGCCCCGCCCTTGACCACTCCTATTGGATAAAGCCAGCTCAGAGTCACGCCATGGACGAGGACAGCCATTTTGCACTGTCTGACCTTACACCGAGTAGGAAAGACACTTGGATTACAGGGATTTGCGATGTCCTTATGTCCTACTATGCGTGCCTTCAGGAAAGCGCCCTCCCTTCCTTTCCAGACCCCAAGGCTTTGTCCACGACGTGTGACCATTCTATGTTTTGTACCCATTTAAAAAAGTTGGTTAGAAGTACGTTCATTTCTAATATATTCATCTTGTCATTTTGTTTGGAGAGTTAAGAGTCAGTCTACAGTTGGTATGGGACAGCTAGAACAAGTGCTTTATAAACATTCCCTTAAGCCCATGAAAACGACATGCTTGAGTTTAAAAAGTTTAGACTCCAGGACTGGAGAGATGGCTCTGTGGTTATGAACACGTACTGCTCTTTCCCAGGACCCAGGCCTACCACCCGCCTGTAAGTCCAGCTCCAGGGCATCTTGCGTTGTTTCCTGGACTCTGTAGGCACCTGCACACACACCCCTTTCCCCATACACACATAATTAAAAATATAAAAACAAATTAAAAAAAAAAACAAGTAGACTCCAAATTAAAAGCCCCCACAGGTGTACTAGCTGCAGGGTGAAGGGGTCTCCCCGTGGTGTGTTCCTGCCTTTCGGCCTGTGCCACCCTTCAGTCTTGTCCATTGGTGCAGGAGATCTCTGTTTGCAGCTGTCTGGTTACTACTGAGGTCAAGCAACTTTTCGGCCTATTGCTTTCTTGCCCCCCCCCCTTCGGCATACCACTTGCTCAATCTTTTAATTTTTGTGTGGAAGGTTTTGCTCTTCTCGTTGACATGTACATTCGGATGTGAGCACTGATGAAGGCATAGAATTAAGAGAATACATAGGTGCCGTTTAAATGAAAATGAGGACATGACCACTCCTAGGTATGATTGAGAAGAAGGTTTTTATGTAGATATGAGGGAGAGTACTGTCAGAAGAGTCCAGACTAAACATGGTCAGTAGAATAGAGGACCATGAGAAGCGGGGTGGGGTGGAGGAGTTGGGGTGGGGAGGTGGCGGCACAGGGATGAAGAGAGGAGCCAAGGATGAAGAGTGGAGCCAAGAGGCAAGCCAAGATAGAACGTAGCCAAAATAGTTGAGTTATATAGAAAAGAGAAGCTGGGGGAGGGGAAGTGAAGCTGGAGGAGGGAGGTTTAGGGTAGGGGGCAGGGTCTGCCAGCCAGGATGACTCTGTAACAGACACTTGATAGTGAGGGAGCCTAGAGCTAATGTAGACCTTGATGTAATAGGCACCAGAGGCATAGATAGGTAAATGCATGAGCCATATGTCACTTGTGCCAGGGCTAAGGAGATTACTCTTTTAGCAAGCAGGATCTATCTTTACTATCTTAAGTCTCTGGAGGGAATTCTGGCTTTTGCCTAAATGCCAGGCTTTGGGGAAATGAATTTCTTGGGCCCTAATACATACATACATACATACATACATACATACACACATACATACATACATACACATACACACACAAGTTATAAACTAAACAATAGCTAAATCTATAAGACAGGCTTATAACTTCAAATTTATAATAAAGATTAAGATTGCAATGGGGAAAAAGTTTCTAAACTCTCTCAGCAAAACACAAGAAGTCCGGGGAGGGTGCTGGGCCTCACAGTCTTAACATTTCATCTTGGTTTAGGATAGAAAGAAGCAGATTAAGTAAAGCATTTGGATAGGAGCTATATAGTATTTTTAACTGTTGAGAAAATCCTATTAATTAAATGTTCACATTATGAATAAATGGATTAGAAAAAATAAAAATTGTAAAACTTAAGAAAAAAACGGAGGAAAAGGGGGGACTTCGTCAAGAAAAACACATGAATATATCACAATCATAGAAAGTCTACAAAAATTTATTTATTTATTTATATGTTTATTTGTTTGTTTATTTTTTTCAAGACAGGGTATCTCTGTGTAGCCCAGGATGTCCTGGAACTTGCTCTATAGATCAGGTTGGCCTCAAATTAAGAGAGCCATCTGCCTTGCCTCCCAAGTGCTGGAACTAAAGGTGTGTGCCACCATACTAGGGCCCTGAAATCTTGGTGAAGTATTTTTTGGTATTTCTCAGAAGCTGAGACATTCTTTTTTTTTTTTTCTTTTTGTAAAGTCACCTTTAAAGGCTTATTTTTATGCTGAGTATGCGTACCAGTGTGCCTGGTGCCCACAGAGGCCAAAAGAGGGTATCTCATATAGCCATGGACTGGAGTTGCAGATAGTTGTAAGCCTCCATGTGGGTACTGGGAATCAAACAAGTCCTCTGGGAAAGCAGCCAGCATTCTTAACCCACCGAGCCATTTCTCCAGCCTACAATTTCTTTTAAAGTCATTATCTGGCCCAGCATGTTAAGATGGCTCAGTATGTTAAAGTATCTTCCGCCAAGCTTGAGAACCTGAGATCTATTCTATTCCTAGGACCCACATGGTGGAAGGAGAGAACCATCTTCTGCAAGTTATCCTCTGACATACAAGTAGCATGGCCTCCACACATGTATGTACAGGAATGTACACAAAATAGGAAATAGATAAAAGTCAGTATGACCTTGAACTTCTGATCATTTTTGCCTTCACCTTGTAAAGGCTGAGATTACAGGTGTGCTACCATGCCCATTTATCCTGTGGTGGGTATTGAACCCAAGGTTGGTGCAAATGGGGCAAGTACTCTACCACTGAGCTATACCCCTAGTTTCATAAGCCATTAATACGGGGTAATGTTGATGGGTGGTGGTGGCACATTCCTTTAATCCCAGCACTTGGGAGGCAGAGGCAGGCGGATCTCTGTGAGTTCGAGGCCAGCCTAGTCTTTAGAGTGAGTTCCAGAACAGGCTCTAAAGATACAGAGAAATCCTATCTCAAAAAATGAGAGAGAGAGAGAGAGAGAGAGAGAGAGAGAGAGAGAGAGAGGAGAAAATGTTATCCTGCACTGAACCAAAAGCAAAAACAATATAGTCCTGGGCTTTCTTGATTTTCAGATCACCGACGTGAAGGGGGAAAGCTAGCCAGGTTCACCTGAAAAGGGCGGTACCAGTTATGGGGAGGTGCTCTGACAAGTGGAAGACAAACCACCAGGGAAGATGGGTGTGGCAGCGTGTTCCTGAATCCCAGCTCATGGAATCGTAGCAAGTTTGAGGCCAGACTGGACTACAAGAGCTAGTTCCAGGACAGACTCCAAAAGCTACAGTGAAACCCCGTCTCGAAAAACAAAACAAAAATAAAAATAAAACAAAACAAAAAGCAAGGAAAACCAAACATAGTTGTTCACACCATGACCTGAGGAGACAGACACATAAGACAACTTCTTCCAGAGTGTTTGCACTATGCTACCTCGTCTAGCTTTTAGCTCCTGGCTCAGCTCGCCGCTTGCCCCAACCCTGTGAAGAGCTAAGACTCCACCTGGCCTGATCTAAGCGTGAATTAAAGACCTCCCTATCGGCGCTGTTACGCATCCTTCAGACAACTCGCTCTACAATGCAAGCGGTGCCTTTCTGTATATCCAGAGTGTGTGAAAACAGGGTGCTGGGAGAGGAGAGCTGTGTGCAAGGACACTTGTGCTGTGTGCAAAGATTCAACAGTACATATGAGTACTCACATGCACACACGTGTAAGAAAACTCCCAACTAAAACAAGACAACTATGCACTTGAGCCCATGTGGGATATTGTAAAACAAATATTCAAAGCACCTACAGCATCCCATGGTAATTTTTTTTCTTTTTCTTCCTTTTTTTTTTTTTTGTTTGTTTTCGAGACAGGGTTTCTCTGTAGCTTTGGTGCCTGTCCTGGAACTAGCTCTTATAGACCAGGCTGGCCTTGAACTCACAAAGATCCGCCTGCCTCTGCCTCCCGAGTGCTGGGATTAAAGATGGCTCAGAGGTTGAGAGCACTGGTTGCTCTACTAGAGGTTCTGAGTTCAAGTTCCACAACTATCTGTAATGAGATCTGGTGCCCTCTTCTGGTGTGCAGGCAGAACACTGTATACATAATAAATATAATAAATCTTAAAAAAAAAAAGAGTTTGACTACCATTCAACTTCTACCACTGAGCACCCATGGCAATAGTGACAGAGAGGGTATCAGGGAGTCTGGCCTGAAGTGCTGGCCACTGTCTTGTTCCTGTGTCTCCTAGCCTTTGGTAGAGTGTGTGGCTTATGAGCTGATGCTTTAAACATGGCTGACCTGTGGAGATACATACATCCAAACCAGCAGTTCCTTCAACTGTGACCCTTAAGAAGCCATGCTCATATTTGCCACATTCTGTGACTGTTATTACTCAATACTTTCATTGAGTTGGCTAATTTCAAAACTGACATTATGACACTTTACAGAAGAAGTCACCTGAAGAGGGAGGCAGCTTTGCCCTGTGACTGGAACTGGAGCATGGGCTTGAGAGATATACCGTGTGGGTTCAAGGTTCCCCTTTAAAGGGTGGGATGACAGGACCAGCAAGATGGCTCTGTGGGTAAAGGTGTGAACGCCTGAGCTCAGTACCCAACCCACAAGATGGAAGAAGCAAACAATCCTGAAAGCTGTCTCTGACTTCCACATGGAGGTCTTCCCCCCCCCCCCCGCACACACTCATTTTCTCTCACTAAATAAATAAAATGTAATA